GCAATTTTTCAGAATAAGAGAGTCAGTATAAACAAGGATGAACTGAAGTCAACTTCAAAAGCCATTGAAACTGTTCACAATCTGTGTTGCAATGAGAACAAAGGAGCGTCGGAGTTGGTTGCAGAACTGAGTACTCTCTATCAGTGCATCAGGTGAGCAGAAATACTGGTCCCAAGCTCTAGCTGTTGGAAGGAAAGTATTCTTAGGCAAGGTTAGGGTACTGCTGAAGAGAAATGCCTTTGTGGGCTACTCTGAGAACATTCTCATTGCAGAATATGTGAAGATGTGGTCTGAAAGCAGCTTTCAAAATTGTGCATCTGACTGTTCTGAGTCTTGTGAGGACACAAGTTCTGGCTTTCACTGACAACTTGTCATCCTTGCATCACAGAACATGCTTCTCTGCCACTGGAAAAAGATGACAGATTACTTTGTCTTCCCAGTAAAACTTTCCTAGCAATAGATGTCTTTGGGTGTTCTTTTTCTCCTCTTAAAAGTATGAAATAGCTACTGAATAAAGTGGAACAAACTAGGAGTATACATAAATTTTGTTGCCTATGTTTTGCATTTCATGCTTAGCAGGGAGTGTCTTTGTAGCAAGAATTTTCCTCCAGGCTATATAATTTCCCCCTCCCCCCCTTTCTTCGTGGGGAAATCTACTTGATGTGCTGGCAACTTCTCAAGCACAACTTGTTGAGTTCTGCAAGTTCTCCTGTAAGTTAAACTGTAATTCTAACAACCATTAGAATATACTGAAAGATGATTCTATAAAAATTTTTAATTTACAGGGAGTTTTGGTTTGGTTTGGGGTCTTTCTGTAGTTGGGTTATTTGTTCTGTTTTATGCTCTTGTGCTAAAGCGATCTCTTTTCTTTGCAGGTTCCCAGTCGTGGCAATGGGTGTATTAAAGTGGGTGGATTGGACAGTGTCAGAACCACGATATTTCCAGCTGCAGACTGATCACACTCCAGTTCATCTGGCATTATTGGATGAGGTAAAGTGTATATAAAACCTTGTTGGAGAGTAAGAACAGTTTTGACTTTTGTAACTGGGAAGTATGTCCAGTTCACTGCGTAACATTTGCAGGAAGTCATTAAACTTAAAGATTAATCTCTGTTCAGAGTCAATTACTTGGTTTTGTCAGCTGAGCATTATTTTTGACAGGAAAACTTGGGCATTAAAGAAAGAAATGACAGAGTACTTTTCTAAAAGGGTTTACATCTGCATGAACATCAGTGTAAACCTTTCTAATAAAGACTGCTGCATTGGTTTTAAAATTGAACTTCTGAGGATTTAACTCTCCTGTCTTGTTTGCAGATCAGTACATGCCATCAGCTACTTCATCCCCAAGTTCTACAACTTCTTGTCAAGCTCTTTGAAACAGAGCATTCGCAGCTTGATGTAATGGAGCAGGTGATTATCATTTTAGTTATGTTTATTCAAGATAATACCTTTGCTGTCACAGCAGTTTTAAGAGTGTAATTTAGGAATATGGTCATGGTTTAAATGTAACAAAGCAGATAGGGAATCAGTAAGAATGAGCAATAAAAAATGCATGCTTCTGAGAGGAAGTTTAATCTTGTTGGTTCTTCCCTCCCCATACCATCAGCTGGAATTGAAGAAGACTCTCTTGGATAGAATGGTACACTTACTCAGCCGAGGATATGTCCTACCTGTTGTCAGCTATATCCGCAAATGCCTGGAGAAGCTAGATACAGATATCTCTCTCATCAGATACTTTGTTACAGAGGTCAGTAACAAAAATGCATTTACTAACATATACAAATAAACTTCAGTATCAGCAAGATATGAGATTAGACTCTGAGTGATATATGTAATATCAGTATTCACTGGGATGTGACTGAGGCCTACTGACCACTGACTTCTGAAAGGTAGCAGATAGAGTACCATAAGAATACGTAATTAATTACTTGTATGGGGAACAAGAAGTTTTATGTGCAGCTACTTGTATGCTTTCAAGGCTAGTATTGTGAATTAAACATTGCACTTGCTACCCCTCTAAGTGTAAGAATAATTCATTTTTGTCTGCTGCTTCAGGTACTTGATGTGATTGCTCCTCCATATACCTCAGACTTTGTACAGCTTTTTCTTCCAATCTTGGAGAATGAAAGTATTGCAGGCACTATTAAAACAGAAGGTGAACATGACCCTGTGACTGAATTTATAGGTAAGTAATATTTATTCCTTGCATGCTTGCTTCCTTTTCTGTTTGTTATAACTTGCAAATAATCTTTAGAAGGAGGATTGCTAAAAATAGGAATGCCTGCCAGATATTTTCACAGATAACTTCCCTTTTAAGGGCCTGTGTTTAGCAATTTTCCTTTAATCAAGAATCTCTGGGTAGTAGTGAGGAACTTTGAGACAAATACTGCTTTTTGAGAACTAAAACTGTACAAAGGGAAGTAGTCTGACATATGATACATTCTAATCCTAAAAGAAAAACATCTGTCCAGGCCCTAAAATCCTAACTATTTACATAACTGAGAAGTCTGCATGCAAACAGATAACTCAAACTAGTGTACTGAATGCTTTTTTTCATTTCTTTTTCTCTTTTAAGCTCATTGCAAATCTAACTTTATTATGATAAACTAAGCAGTGGAAAACATGAAGAACACAGAACACACGATCACTGCTTTACCATACTGTCCACCAGAAAGGCTCTGTAACTGGGCAGCAATGCAGCAAAAAGCCCCTCAAAACAAACAAAAAAAAAACCCAGAAACCCAAACTAAGGGAGAAAGGGCTGAAGGGCATTTGACTGGTTGACTTGCATGGCAACCTTGAGCTTCATACAGAGGTCTGTTAATGTACTTTGGAAAATGGAATAATACTGAAGGCTTTTCTGTTATTACACACATCAGTAGAAATCTGAATATTCTGAAGGGAATAGCAGGACAAAAACATTTCTTTCAAAGAATGTTGTTTTGGTTGCTTGGAGAATTTATCAGTGATTCTTTGTGTAGTATACAAAACCTGAAGAATGGGGAAACGCTTCGCAGATAGTTCCCTGAAGACTGGATCTTGAATGCTCTAGGCTTTGATGTTGTAAGTTGTATAGAAGGAATTAGTGTGATTAGCTCTTTCTCACCTTTGCATTACTTAGAGTTCTAAAAAATTCCTACATATTTCCTGCTATGGGTCTGTAACAGTCCAGGTTAGTTTTGTATTAACAAACAGATGAACCGTATATGTGAGTGAGTTATCTTTCAGAATCTATTTTTTTGTTAAATAGATGCTTCGATGTTACTGGTAAGTTTCATTACCATTCTACTGCTGTCCAGCACCATTAATGTGTTCAGAAATGTCATAACTGCTTCCTGTGGCTTGTTTTATGTACTTGCTTATCTCTACTCTGTCCTGGTAGATGCCAGACAGTGCAGGGATACACCCAAGATATTATAATTTACCTTTAAATAAAGGGCTTTTCTTTTCCAGAGCTTTCTCTCAAAGTTTTATTAAGGCCATTTTTTCTTTTCATTGGGCTGGATTTTCTTTCTACAGGTAAATACTGTTTGTTTGTTTAAGAGGGGTGTAGACAAGCCCATTGTGTTTTTTTCCAAGCACATCTGTTTTCTGAAGAACCTGCTTTCTAAAAAGACATGGAGACTTTTAAGTCCAGCTGCACATAAACGTAAGGAGGAAATCGCCTTGTTCTGTGTTGTGATTCATGCACGGGAGCACTTCAGCTACCACAATACTTCTTGAGACAGCAGCCAGTTTTATAGATTAACTTACTTCTCCTTTCTTACAAAAAGGAGCGCATCTTCCAGCTTTCCAACCAGAAACATCAGCCTACTGGAATATGGCCTAAAGTATCTAGTCTAAAACATGCTCATTGTCACAGTACTAAAAGCTGTGCTGTTTGAAACCTAAATGATCAGAACAGCACACTCTCCTCAATTCCATCGTAGATACTAGCAATCTTATTCTTTTATTGATCTTCTCATTAGCAGCAGACTTCTTTGGTTTATCTGTGGAAGAAAGGTAAGTTGCAGAAACTACCAACTGGGAAGCAGCAGATAGATACAGTTTGGGGAAAGACATTTTCCCCCCTCCTCTGCACCATTACAAAGCTTTAACTTACAGGTTTGAGTGAGACATAATTCACAGGTTGTTTTCATTTCATTTATGGTAGGCTTTGAAGATTGACATTTAGAAGTGGTATTCTACATCTGAATGTATCTTTTCTGTCTTGTTGAAATTGGATGCTTCCCTGAAACTTGTATCTTACATTCTGCTACATTTATGCACACTGAAGATTAAGCTGAATTGTTTGAACCATTATAGTTGCTGTGTAGACTGCTGTCAACCAGCCATTTCACAAGAAAAATTCCAATAAAAGCAGTGCCATCCTCAGTAAGCTACCACATGAGCTTACTTACTTCTTAGGTGCAACCCAGTCTATGCATTAGTAAGGTCTTGTAATACAGCTATAGTTGTGTAAGAAGAAGTCCATTTATTAAATGCAGTTAATGCCACTTAGTAACATTTGATATTACACTGATTTGCCACTTGGTAGCTGGCCGAGTGTTAAGAGAATTGGAAACCTTCAGGAGAGTTTTGGGCTGTGGCAATTTAAGCTTTGCCTCATTAGGAGAAAAAGGGTACAGCCAATCACATAGTAAAGCAAAGAATTTGAGCAAGGATACAAGTAAGTAATTGTTTTTTTTAATCAAGTAATTCCTGATAAATCATTCTGGTTGCATAAAAGTAACTGCATTACATGAGACTTCCAACACCACTGTTTCACCAGGAGGCCAAGGATTTAGGTTTTTAGCATGTCGTGGCCAGACTTAGCCATGTGAGCAGCATCATTTGTGAGATATTTGCTCAATACTGTCAGAATATAAGCTCTAGACCCAAATATTGAGTATACTTTTTCCTTCCCAGTATGCCTACATAATTTGTAATTAAAAAAAAAAGATACTTAGTTTCTGCACTGAAGTCAGTATGATTTCAATACTGTGCATCAACACAGACCACTTTCGCATGGGTAAAATGCTTTTAGGTTGGAAATACCTGAAGGCAGCTCTGTATGTGTTTTACTTTGAAGACATTTTGTGTTGCTGTCTGGGCTAATTTTGCAGAACTGCCTGATGGTCTTAGATTGTGAAGGAATTTTAGACTACTATCCTTTAAACAGAAAAAGGTTGTGCTGGGAAGCTTCCAAAGTAGTTCCTAAACAGAAAGATGTATGCTATAGAGTCAAGGAAGTACAGCATCTCCATATGTACAGTCCTCTTCAATAGCAAGATTGTATTCTGCTCCTCTTCCACCTTTATATGCGCTTGTCACAATTCTCAGCCACCCTCTTTCACCCTGTAAAGAATTAATTCATATTGTTAATTAGACAATGTTTGTTCTGTCTTCCAGATATGAATGATTTATAAGTGAATCTAGGAATTAAGATGAAGTATAACACTAGGTTCACAGGGGCAATCTGCTTAGGTGAATTTACACCCTCCCCTCCTCCCCATCTATTCCAGGACTTAATTTTTGCCTACAACTAACAGTAACTTAGAGTTGCCCATAACAGGGGCTGCATGCTCATGAAAGAAGGCAGCATTTGGGATTGAGTTGACGTAACTCAGGTAGCTTTTCTGAATAGCCTTGTCTTCAGATTAGTTATGCTTCATATTAGTTCAAAGAGACTTCTACTTTTCCTATCCACAGGCTAGCTTTGCAGCTTGCTGTTTGCAACCCCACCTTTCTAAGCATGTTTGTTCCCATGTTTCCTTACCCAGGGTTCACCCCAGGAGTTACGAACAATCCAGTATTCTGTTCCATTTTCTACACCCCAGCCAGCCACAGATACAATGTGATTCACCACAGCTGAGGGGTTGTACTCTGTATAAAGTCCTCCACTGTAAGCATCCAGCTTCTCAGTAGCCATTATACCACAGCTGTAATGAAACAGAAGCAGCAAATTTTTATGCAAGGTGATCAGGACAGGGGCCTGGCTAAAACCAATTGGTTTTCTTATATTTTCACTTTAGGGCTCAATTTACCTACAAACTAGCTGAAGCCCTGCACATTAATGCAGAGCGGCTAACATAAGCCAGAGAAGTACACTTCAGTCATTGGACTGAGTTTCAAGTATTTCAATCACAGTATTGCTAGTAGATAAATATTTTTACCATTCAAGATGTATTTTACCTGATTGGTCCATTAGTATAGATTTCTGCCTTCATCTTTTCTCTTCCATTGACAGACCCGTAGTCAGCAACTTTCCAGAGAGTATAGTTCTTTATGACATGGCACTCTCCAAAAGTGACACAAGTGCCACACTGATTAAATTTCTTACACTCTACAAAACAAAAGCAGGATCATCACTGCAAGAGAATGCTGTCCTTCAAGTGAATTATGATATGACACTAAGCTTTTTGAACTTATTTGAGGCAGATATTAATAAGAGTAATTATTAATATGTACTCCAGTGAAAAGAACTTATGGAAACCACATTTAAAGTCTCTACAATTACTAGTTACAGTTGCTTTACTTCTTAGGCCTAAGTGCTCTGGGGAGGAAATGTTTCAGATGTGCATCTCTATAGATACAGAAACTATTCCAGTCACACATGACCAAACAGGTTACATTTTTTCCTTTGTTTAGCTTGAGGTGACACTTGTAAATATTTCAATACATTAGAGATAGTGTATCACTGATTTGAGAGATTAGGTTAAAACAATTTAGCTGTGCTAACTTGTCAGGGCATGATTTAATGCTATGCTGTCTGGCTAAAGAGACACACAGAGAAGCCTGTAAGGAAAACCCGTTCTGTCAGCCAAACAGCAAGTACTACACCAAAAGGCAGGAACCAGTATGCTGAAAACCCAAGAAACTATAGGGTTTTTTTAATGTTAAGCTCTGCTAAGCATGGGATGAAGCCTTACAGCAAAGCAAATAGGCATCATACTTTGGTCCTTAGCTTGGTAGTTGTTGCAGGTCTCATCTGGAATGCCATGGTCATGGGCATACTTCCAAACACCTGAGTGGTCTCCACCTTCACAGGATCCTGCATCAGCACAGTCAATCACATTCTGAACAGAGAGATAGGCAGAAGGCCATGCTCCTTTTCTCTTTATGTTGATTCGGTCTGTAAGGATAAGAAATTGTATTTTGTTAGCAAAATATATGAGTGGCTACACATTGGAACTAGTGTTAAAACTCCACTGAACTGTAACTGTTTGCAGGCAGCAGTACCTGTGGTTGGAAAAGCCTCTACTGTCAACAGTGAGGCACACAGCACAACCCAGCTCACACCAGAAGGCTGAGGTGTTACTGGGGATTTCCATGGGAAGTATTTTCCATTAAAACTCAGCAGAAAATACACAGATGAGCTAGATCTGTTTAAAGCCTTGACATGCCCTAGACCTCTTTAAGTCACAGCTTCTGAAACCTTCCAGATCCATTTCCTGGCTTTGACAAGCACATTGTCTCACTAGAGTTTTGTACATGAACTCATGTAGGCAGATCTGGGCCCATGCAGCCCAGGTTTCTGGATCTGAGAGACAGGTCTTTAAAAAGGCAAGGAGCACTTTCATAAGTAGACCTTCACTGTTGCATCAACCCTGCCATCCCAGACAAGCAGTGCCACTTGGCGGTCTTATTTTGTCAGAAACAGCTAGCTTACTAGCAGATACAACTAGCTTACTTGCCAAAGAAGCTTCCCAATGAGTGTTCATAAACGGCTTCTCATAGTGCATTAGCAGTCTTAACTGATGGCACTGTAGTACTTCTAGTGCTATTAGTACTAACAACATTCAACTCTATTTGACAGAACTGGGAGGTGTTATGGCAGCCTAATCTTCCAGCAACAAGAATAGGAATGAATGCTTTAACTGTTCACACCAGTTAAGAAAAAAATACCCTGGTTTGTTTTTTTCTTTTCAATCAACCTTTTATACTTAGAAAACGCACATACTGGCATGCTTACTTATACAATTAAGTTACATAATTAAGGTGCTGTATTTTATCTGTCCTAATACTTCCAAGATTTCTTACGTGTTTATTCTTGTAGTGCTTAAGGACAGATCCTTCATGATTCCTGCTGTTTGCTTAGACCTATGTTGTCTTTCCAGTTCTGCACAATTCCTTCTATTTCTCCTTCGCAGTTAATCCTTTTACAACATGCCCTGTGCAGACAGTATTTCTGCAGCACAACTGTTGCATGCAAATCATTATGTATTCTCTCTAGAGAAAATATTTAACTGAAACAAACCCCTACTTCCCTTTCCCCAAGAAAAGGCCGATAGAATCTGCTGAAACAGATGTTCCTGCACAATGTGGGAGTCAGTTCATCTGAATGATGGTGCTCATGAAGCAAATGCCCTGTGGGCCTTTCCCAGGAGAGGCAGCTTCATTCGTTTCCTCATACCCAGGTATGGCTGGAGTAGCCCCTTGCTGCTCTGGGCATAGGAACCGAAAAAGGGAAGGAGATGTGATACATGCTTTTGCGTCTGCTGCTCCCATCACTGGGTGAAGAGCAGAAAACCCACTTTTTGCTCCTCGCCCTGAACAGCGGCACGGCAGGAACCACAAGCACATTCCTTGTGCAGAGTTTTAACCTTTTTTGTCTGTCCAGACCAAACCTCCCGACCTTCAGCTTGGGAACTCCTGCTGTTGCAGTGTATCCACAGGTCTCAGCCGTGGTCTTTGTTGCCTACCTGCTAGAGCGCTGGTGCTGCCATGTGCCCAGCAGGACCCGCAGTACTGCGGGATGTGCTGGTTCCGAGTGGTGCTGGCGTAGTTGACGCCGTTGACGTTCCTCCAGTCCCAGCTCTTGGGGAGCGCGGAGATGTCGAGGTACTCGTGCGGCCGGGGGTAGGTCCTGCGGGGGGGAGAGGAGCTGGAGCGCGGGATTCCCGTGACCGGGATTCCAATGGGCACATGTGGGAAGTTTCGTAACAGGGCCGCCGGCGGCCGGCGCCGTCACGTGACAGCGAGCACTGTGACCGGTCCCGTGACCACCTCTGCGCCCCGCCGAGCCCCCTTCCCCCTGGGACCGCCCTCCCGGAGCCCCGCGGGTCAACGGCAGCCCGTGGAACCCTCCCGAGCCCCCTCGGGCGATGGCGACCGGACAGAGCCCACCGCCCCCAACACCGAGCCCCTCCCAGGCGGCACCGGGCTTGCAGAGCCGCCGAGCAGGCGGGCGCTGCGGCCGCTCAGCGCCTTCCCCAGCTCCAAACCGCGGCGCCGCTCGGGGGAAGCTGGGGGTGTCCGCAGCCCCTGCGGGACGGGGTGGCCAGGCCGAACCTCACCTCAGCCCAGGCGCCCTGCGCGGGGCCGGCTTGTAGCAGTGCTGCCCTTCCCTGAAGTAGAGGCCGGCGTAGGCAAGGGGGCAGAGGCAGCCCCAGAGCAGCACGAGGAGGAGGGACGCGGGGCACCGGCACATCGCGACTATGCTGAGTCCGGTAGCGCCTTCCCTCCCGGCACGGCCCGGAGCCGGCATTTAAGGGCGAGGGGAGGTCCCGCTGGGTGGGGCTGGGCGGGACAGGGGGCGGGGCGGGGAGGGGAGCGCTGCACTCACCTGCGGGGCTCCGGCGGGTCCGTACCTCGAGGGTGTTTCCTTTCCGCAGGACAGCATGGGCAGGTATCCAGGTCAGTGGGCCCCTCCAGTACTTTGGAATTTCACCACCGAACAACTGCAAAATCCAGAAGAATTAGTGAAACACTTAAATGAGGTGTGTGGTCATTCTGGCCATACCAGAGACGGACAAATCATGGCAACGTGCTGGGGCTTGGCCTATGCTTACTGGGCCATGTTACCGGCCCTGGTTACTGGACTGGAAAAGAGCTTTAAGCTCATCCAGTCCGATCATTCCCAGCGCTGCTAAGGCCACCACTGACCCATGGCACTGAGGGCCTCGTCTGCGCCGTGTGTGAGCACTTACAGGGACGGTGACTGCAGCCCTGCCCTGGGCAGCCTGTTCCAGTGTCAGCTTATGTCTGGGGGAAGCTGTAGATTGGCAAGTCCTTCCTAATGGTATTTAATTAGTTTCTTAGGTGACAGGGAATGAACGCAGACCTGCGATCACTTGTGTTCACTCGGAAAAACAACTTTGATCACATACACCCCATTCCTCCCCACCCCCCCACGAAAAAAGGAAAGGCGGGGGGAGCTATTAAACCATTGTGCTGCTGCGAGCACAGGGGTTGTGACAAGGAGCCTGTTTATGGGAGCAGCTGCAGACCCAGCGTGACTGGTTATGGGTTTCTTTCTTTACCTTTGCCTCATACATCAGCATTGTGTAAGGCTGCACCGAGTGACTGTGAGTGCAGGGAGCAGCAGGGCTGCTTTCTTGTTTGGATAGGGGTTGTTTTGCTAATCCTCAGTTTGAATTTCTCAAGCCCTTTTATGGTGCAGTTTACAAAGGAATTGTGTCCAATTCTTTGACTGTTATTTAGACTTCAGGACATTTGAAGATTCCTTATTATTTACCTCAAGGTTTAGTCAGGAGTAGAAATAGTTCTCTAATTTTCCTGCAGAAGGTTTAATTAGTGTGAGTGGACTACCAGTTTCTGCTTTCCCATCTATGGGCTAGAGGTCTCATGTTCAGTAGGACAGGTTTAGTGAACCACTTCTTCCCTTGTAGCTTTTCTGCCTTAATGCTCAGCACATTTTGTAAAAGGCATGAGGCTTATTAGCTCTGCATTCTGAATAGAGAAACTGGGAACCAACACAGCAAGCGCTGAGCCTGCTGCTGTGCAGTTGACCCTTTTGGCGATTCATCAAATGATCCAAACTCTCCGGTAACTGCTGCGGGGGCAGTAGGGCCCAAGTAAGGGTATTTATCACCTGGCAGATGAATTCACATGCCACAGGCCCCAGGTTCTTGCTGGGTCATATATCTGCAGTATGAGGAAGGCAATGAACTCCTTTGTTGTCTACTCCAACTGTACCAAAACTGATTTGTTTAACTGTACGGGCTCATTACACTGATAACTTACATGGGCAGTCCTGCCTTACTTTCCTTGGATCACCTGCCACCAGGAGGTAGTCTTTAAATAGTTTTTCTTACTAACCAAACCAAAAAGATGAAGCCGACAGTCTTTATTGCCTGTTGAATGCAACGTTTTTTGGCAAGGTCTTTAAGGATGATACAGCTAGTCCAGATTAGTTGAGACTAATGTCAGCTCATCTGGTAGCCATCCATAGATCAAATTATCTGGTGGCCTGGAGCCAGGCTAATCTCAAATTGAATAGGCTTTCTTTCAGCAGTCTTTTCCACTACTGTGAAGAGCCATGTCCTCCCAAGCAAGCCATATTAAAAACAAAGCATCACATATTCCTCCCTGCACGTGTGTATTTGTTGCTAGTGGGTACTGTGATGGTATTAATTAAAAAAACAAGCAATAATAAGAGAAACAAAAAACCCCAGTAACAAAAAACCCCAACCGGCCTTTTGTGGTCTTGGCTTACTCCCATAGTCAGGGCTTTAGTATCTAGGGCTCTCTCTGAAGGCAATGGAAGCAGTGGGCAGCTGATAACAAACCCTGCAGCCAGGCTGGTAATAGCTGTGCCCAGTGTCAGGCTGCTCCTAATCACCCTGATGCCAAAAGTCCCCCGACGCCAGCCCTGCCGCACCGTCCCCTCTCTCTGGTGACGCTCACACGGCTAATCTGCACCAGCACATGTCCCACGGCTGTGCCTGGGGACCACACTGGGCAGTTTCTTGAGGCTTGAGGTTTCTCAGAGCTGAGGACAGGCCTGAAACCAAATCTACTGAGAACCAGGCATCTCGTGTAAAGAGCGACAGGGGGTTCACAGAGACACGGCTGGGGAGGAGAGGGGAGAGGCACGAAACCACTCTGGCTTCAAAGCCCCTCAGGTGCTTTGTCATGTGCCATCATTTTTAAGACTCTGTAAGGAAGTGCTGCAGAGGAGGCACATGATTCCAAGGAGCTATTTTTAGCAAGAGAAAAACCAATGTTATGTGATTGCACATTTCTTTTACTTCCCCTTTTTTGTTTGTTTTGCTTGTGACATGCTCTCACTGAGAACAGTTATTGCTGAAATTGTTTGCCAGCTGGTTTTGGACAGTGAATTAGCATCTTCTTCATAAGCTGTGGCTACTGTAAATTGATGCATTGCATATTTTATGTGGTATATATTTAGTGTCAGAATGCAGCGATTGAATTTACAACTTAGAATTGCACTTTTAGCTAAGCATAGGTGGTGAAAGCAACTATGAGTGTGCATTAATAAGATAAAATTGCTTTCAAAGTAAATGTCCAAATAACCTTTCCAGAATTTTGTCTTACGAAACTCTAGAAGATACCTGTTGCCATTGCAGAAAATACCTACGGGGTGGCAATGGAACATCACTGCTCGCTTTCCCGAGTAAACTAAACTGTTTAGAGAACTCTGGGTTTTATAAATGAGAACACTGTTGTGTTTTAAGGAAACCAACTAATTTGACCTGAATTTAAGGTCTTGCTTTTCTTGCTCCCTGCTGAAGATGGCTCCCAAGCTATGGGCAGATGATGGCAGAATGTTGTGCAGTGCGCTTCTGGTGCTAAACTTTGTCTTAGGAGCAGTTGCCTGTTCCTCTGTTGCCTGGTGAAGGAAGTGGAAGTCAGCTGTGGTGGGGAAGTCTGGAATAGGCTGATTTTTCTTTTGGAACAATATGGAAGCTCAGAGATTCCTTATCTCTAGCAACCCATACTGTCAATGAGTCAAGTCCTTCCACTGTCATCTTTTAATGCAAAATAACTTAAGGTGCTTTCCTAATTATAGTTCCTTTTCCTGTCCTTAAAAGGAAAGCACTGACAGCTGTCTAACATGTAAAAAAAACTCCTATAAGCTTCTAGAGGACAGTCCATTCTGGGTTTCTGTTGCTCAGTGATATTAGTCCTGTTTATCAGCAGGCAACATGACTGTGTCATGTTGTGCTCAGCCTCACATAATTCCCTTTAATGCAGTGATCGTAACAGTTAACTTCAGTAGAACTGCATTTCCACCTCTAGCATTTTCCTGCCAAGTTCTGAAATACTGCATCTCAGATACAAGAAAATAAGAAAGATAAGAAATGCTGTATTTCTTAATGGCAGGAAAGGAAGAGTGGAAAAGGGGAGGGGGGGAGAGAGGCCATCTGTGCAAGTTAATGAGAAGTTGAGTCAGATTTTAGATTGTCTGAAGTTGCTGGATTCTTATTAAATGTTTAAGGAATGCATATCACTGAGAGTTCAGTTTTACAAAGGTTGTTTTTTTTTTTGTTACCCATCCTTCACCCATCCTTTATGCAGCTAGGCACTGGGAATAATGCTTTATTAATGAACTGTAAGCTTGCCTGGCAATGTGGTGAATATAGGGGGCTACTGCTCAAAAGTTGGTATTGGCTTTATTATGGATCTTGTCATGTATGACTCATATGATGTTAAAACATCAGTTATGTGGCAGAAGCACATGTACTTAATAAACTAAGGTCACTCATTTTTGGCTACGATCTCTATATATGCATATGTGTTTGTATATATATTACGTATAAAATAATGAACCACAAATACAGTGTACACAGATATTAATGAACCACACTGTTTGCTGCTCAGAGAACCGGAATTAACTGTAAGGGGGGGTGTGTGTGACAATTTTCCAAGCCACTCAGTCATGTACCTGTGCCCTTGTACCCTGTACACAGGCACTGAATAGGCACTTTGCCTGCTGGTAGCAGCCTGAGGTGCTGGCTACTCCCCTTGCTGGCTGCGTGACAGTCCCACTAGTATAAAAAGGCCCCTTGGGGCGGACTGCTCTGGGTGTAGCTGATAGAGCAGCAGAGAGGGCTTGTGCTGGGGACTGCAACCACAAAACCTGTTGGGTTGTAGCCACCAAGGGTCTACGCTACACAAAATGCGTGAAATTGTGCATCTTCAGATTGGCCAGTGTGGGAACCAAATTGGATCTAAGGTAAGGTCTCTTTTCAGTATTGGTCATTAGTAGTAAGGGCTCCCAGTGGTAGCAGGCCAAATGTTGTTACTGGATGGGAACTTTCAGGGGGAACAATTTGCTATTTCAGTGGTAAGATGCATGGCACATTAGCTGCAAATGTGGATATTTTGTTATGAAAGTCTTGAGATGGGCTTGCTCCTTATGCAAAGGTTAAGACTGTCAAAGAGTGAACCATCTGCAGTAACTATGTCCCGGTGATTGTAAGTGAATTCCTGCTGAGACTCATATTTCCAGGGGCACTAATCTAGTCTGCAAAATACTGGGACAAGTGAGGGAACAAGTGATTCCAGGCCTGCAAAGACAGCGCTTTAGTTTAGCCATACAGCAGTAACTCTGCCACACTGTGATCATTAATATGGGCCTGTAGTAACCAGCAGAATGACCTGTGCTATCAGTGACCAACTGGGTTTTTCTGAGAGTGGCAGAAAGTGCACTGAAGGATTCCTGCCTAACTGGCCACCTGTGTGAGGCTCTTTTTGAGATGGCATTTGGAGTACTTTTGTGTAGTTCAAACACTGGCATGCTTGTTACTTAGGAGAAGTCACTCATTCATTGCTGAGTTTGTGTGCTTGGAGAAAAAACCCTACCAAACCTCACTGCTTTTTGCTGCATGATACCCCTCTTTTTAGTTGACAAGTTGTCAAAAACCAAAGGGTATCTGGATTAATTTGGGTCCAGGAGGTCTTTAAAGACACACATTAGCTGAAGGATTGTTCCGTTGTACTCTTCCTCCATTTATTTCTCCCACAAATCTCACCTTAATTCCCTTTATTGGAGCATGAAGCTGTGGATGGCCAGGGAACGTCACGTTAGACGGAGACAGTTAGAATGCAGCCAGTGCGGTAGTGTTGGCTTTGACCTGGAAATCACTTATGTGTAGTAACACCTGTAAGAAAAGCACACATACACACACCACTACAGCATGCATGTGCTGGCAGGAGTGTATTTGTACACCCAAACCAAGACTGGATGCTAACCCAGGAGACCTTTAACATTAAACCAGCCTGGTCATTATAAGTGGGTGGGTGTGTCACATTAACACTGCTGCGGCTGCTGCCTAGATAAGAGCCCAAGTACAAGACATCCAGGTGAATGTCAAGATAGGACACTCAGGACCAACATCTGTTTGTGGAAAGCATTGCCAGCACACAAATTTGGCTGAGCCAGTTTTGCCATGACACTTGTGCATCTCCCCAGTCCACTGTTGCAGCTTTTATGTTAAGCATATACCAACTAGTACCTGTGTTATTTAAACTAATATTGATTTTCCTTTACTGTAAAGGGACAAAATTGAGGGCCTCCACCTATTAGTACATGGGTAATAGCTAAGCAGCATACTAAACTGTTGCCTTGAATTTATTTGTAGAGGGGGGAGATGAGGATCCCCACTCTGATCTAATGAGTTAATGGCAAAACATCCCCCATTTCAGGCAAAATTCTCACTGTGTGTGCAGTCAGGCATGAGCACAGTAGATCTGGTGCTGAGCACATTGTCTTGAAGAAAGAGTAAATCTTTGTAAAGTGTTGAACCTGTTTCCTTTTTCAGTTCTGGGAGGTGATAAGTGATGAACATGGGATTGACATCGCTGGAAACTACTACGGGGGCGCATCACTGCAGCTTGAGCGAATTAACGTCTACTTCAATGAGGCTTACTGTAAGTGTTCGGCACTGTTTGGGTGCTGGCAGAGCAATTTGCAGAGCCAACATGGAAGTTAGAATAAGTAATTAAAAGATACATCCCCAAATCGCTGTAGGGGGATTGGAGTTTTCAAAGCAGGTTATAAACTTGTCTCTTTGGCTTTTAACAGTAATTGTTCACATTCATTTACTTTTGTCCTAGCCCATAAATATGTGCCCCGTTCTATCTTGGTGGACCTGGAACCTGGTACGATGGACAGTGTACGGTCTAGCAAAATAGGCCCACTCTTTCGACCTGACAATTTTATTCATGGTATGTACAGCCTGCTGTCAGCAAAGTATCTGGAGTCAGCTGTCCCAGAATGGCCTTTTAACTCCCAACTTTGTGGCTGTTCTTTCTGTTCACAGGTAATTCAGGCGCTGGGAACAACTGGGCTAAGGGCCACTACACAGAAGGCGCTGAACTGATTGAAAACGTCATGGATGTGGTCAGGAATGAGTGTGAGAGCTGTGATTGCCTTCAGGGATTCCAGCTCATCCATTCACTTGGTGGTGGTACAGGCTCAGGTATGGGCACACTCCTCATCAACAAAATCAGAGAAGAATATCCTGACAGGATTATGAACACTTTCAGTGTTGTTCCTTCACCCAAAGTATCCGACACAGTTGTAGAGCCATATAATGCCATCCTCTCCATCCACCAACTAATTGAGAATACAGATGAAACCTTTTGCATTGACAATGAAGCTCTATATGATATATGTTTTAGAACTTTAAAGCTCACCAATCCCACCTATGGTGACCTCAACCATTTGGTGTCCCTAACGATGAGCGGTGTCACAACTTCACTCCGTTTTCCCGGTCAGCTGAATGCAGATCTGAGGAAGCTGGCTGTTAACATGGTGCCCTTTCCTCGCCTGCATTTCTTTATGCCAGGCTTTGCTCCACTGACAGCTCGAGGCAGCCAACAGTACCGAGCCCTCTCAGTGCCAGAGCTTACTCAACAAATGTTTGATGCACGTAACATGATGGCAGCCTGTGACCCTCGTCGTGGACGTTACTTGACGGTGGCATGCATCTTCAGAGGCCGAATGTCTACCAAGGAAGTGGATGAGCAGTTGTTGGCCGTCCAGACCAAGAATAGTTCCTACTTTGTGGAGTGGATCCCTAATAATGTCAAAGTGGCTGTGTGTGACATACCACCACGAGGCCTGAAGATGGCAGCTACCTTTATTGGCAATAACACAGCCATTCAGGAGCTCTTCATCAGGGTTTCGGAACAGTTCTCAGCTATGTTCAGAAGAAAAGCATTTCTCCATTGGTACACAGGTGAAGGCATGGATGAGATGGAGTTTTCAGAAGCAGAAGGTAATACCAATGACCTTGTGTCCGAGTACCAACAGTACCAGGATGCCACTGCAGATGTTGAGGAATATGAAGAGGTAGAAGCAGAAGCCAGCCCCGAAAAGGAAGCACAGTAAAAACAATGGGAATATCAAAAAATACCAAATAAGCCTGTTGACACTCACTAAAAAAACAACAAACAGTAACCATCACCTGCAGACCAAAAATAGCACCTTTCTGAAGAATTCTCAGCATCTGGCCAAAATATATCCAATATTACAATACAGTGCTTTTGCAATTAAGGGCAGCCGTGTTTCACTCTCCTAAACAACTGTTGACACTGACTTGCTCTCAAAAAAATCCACTGCGAAGACAAGTTGTCTCCTAACAGCCTTTCTTGTAAATGTATTCACCTTTTGAAGATTATTGCCTGATACTGAATGTAATATACAGCCTCTGTGCCTGTGTATAAATATATACCAGGATCATAAGCAACAGCAAAATATGCTACCAACTCATCAAATGTATTTATTCTCAGGTAAACAGTCCCTGTTTTGTTTGTGACCTTGTTACTGTTTCAGGACCATGCACGCACCTGTACGGCCTGCAAAGGCAGCATTGTCTCTTTTATTACACACCCCACAGACTGATGTAGCTCTGCAGAAAAGTGCAGTTCCTTAAGTTGCAGGAGAAGAGAGGAAACAACACAGGGTAAAAGACTGATTACGCATATCCTCACTTTTTTAAAAGTACTTTAATAGTTCTGTCACATTGCTGGCTTATATTATTGCAGAGCTTGTATTCATTATCCATGTGTGGTTTGTTTCTATTTCAAACTATAGATTGACTTATTAATTATTAGCATACAGTGTTATGGACATTTGTAAATGTCTTGGTCTGGTTTGGTTTTTTCTCATGTATTAACTAAACTACTGTAAATTTTCTTCCTATCAGTACTACAAAGTGGAAAGAATGGTTTACAGCTAGTTAGGTCTAAGTTCAACAGAAATCACTGAATCAAAGGCATATCTCAACTTCATAGAAAAAGTTTCTTGCCATTCACAGCCATCTACTTTATAATGTATTTATAATATTCTTTAAAATAAAAATTATGTATCATTCCATAAAGTACGTTAATACTTGAAATATTTGAAAGACAAAAATCAGTTTATTCTTTTAACATGAGGAAATTGAGTTGGGTGGTTTTGATACTCTTAGAAGAGTTTATTATACTATCAAGAACGTAATTCCTCATGTTTGAGACAACAGCAGTCCCACAGGCAGTGACACCTTCCACTAGAGCAGCTTGCTCCAAGCCCCTGTGTCCAACCTGGCCTTGAACACTGCCAGGGATGGGGCAGCCACAGCTTCTCTGGGCATCCTGTGCCAGGGCCTCAGCACCCTTACAGGGAAGAACTTCCTCAGATCTCATCTCAATCTCCCCTCTCTCAGTTTAAAGCCATTCCCCTTGGCCTGTCCCTACAGGCCCTTGTCCAAAGCCCCTCTCCAGGTTTCCTGTAGCCCTTTTAGGCACTGGAGCTGCTCTAAGGTCTCCCCGTCAGGAGCCTTCTCTTCTCCAGCCTGAACCAGCCCAGCTCTCTCAGCCTGGTTCCAGAGCAGAGCTGCTCCAGCCCTCGCAGCATCTCTGTGGCTTCCTCTGGACTTCCTCCAGCAACTCCACATCCTTCTTATGGTGAGGGTTTAACCATAACCTTTAGCTGCATCAAACTGATTTTCACCAAGTTTGTTTTATTCTAAGCACAAGTGGAATTTGAACACCACTATGACAGAGAATTTTAAAGCCAACAACATACCCCTTCCAGCAGGAACCAGCAGAGGTATTTTTAATTATTGAAGTTATATGCCTATATTCCCTGTTGACATAGGTTTTAGCAAAAAACACCTTTTTTCTGAAGTTATAATCATTGAAGTAGGCAGAAACGTTTTAAGCAAGGATTAAATCTCTTATTTATGTACTTGAAATACTGCCCTGAAATCCAACAAGAGATGTCCTTAAACATACGATGCTGCTAAATAGCAGACCGTGCTACGAACATTATTTTAACACAAGTGAAAGATGAATGTCTCTGCAAAATGGACCACTTTAAGAGGAACACCACTTCCCACACATGCATTTGTTTAACAGACATTACGTTTTATTAGCAAGCTGATGTGTATATAGAGGCAAGTTTTACAATTAATGTGATGACATTATACTGCAGTTTTGAGCTTGTCCACAGCTTTGCCATTTGGTGCTGGAGTATTCACCACACATCAGTTCCTATGAGAGATTTAAAATACAAGTTACTCCATTCAAGAAGATGCACAAGGTATGCTTCCAACAAATGGCAGTAATGTTTAATCTGAGACCAAGAGTAACAGAAGCTGTAAGATTTCAGCTGCTCATGATGTATGGAGTGTCACAAATAAAGGTAAAGCATCTATCTTTCACATGTAGCTGATAACCCTTATACAGATAAATCTGCTGGTTCAAAGAAGCAGCAATTCAGGGAGGCTGGCTGTTGGCTTAGTGGAGACAGATAACCTCTGAGTGTTACTATAGAAACCAAGCAGTTCTGTGCTAATTCTCTAACAACTCCGACCAAAGCAAAGTCGTTCAAAGCAGATGCTGGTTTACAGAACATCTCACTTTATTGAACTAATGAGACGAAGCAGTTTCCTCTCCAATACACAGTCCGGCTGCATGCACCCGCACACGTCAGTGCTAAGCCAGCCAGCAGTCCGCCCGGTTTCATGCACAGAGATCAGCGCTGGTCTTTCACACACTGCATGTTACCGCAGTTACCGCCATGAACGCAGCCCACACTGGGACACCTGCACAGGAGCTGCAGTGCAGCACCCGGCCAGCTCACCGGACTTACAGCTTACTCCTTCTTGGGCTTCACGGTCTTCACCGTGGCCACTGCCGCCCTCTCTGCCTCCGCTTTGTACTGAGGCTTCATCGCCGCTCTCACAACTTGGGCGCAGATCTGGGAAAACCGGATGTAACTAACACAGGAGAGAAAAGGGGACAGAAAACGACAGTGAGAACCAAACGCCTCCCCGAAGCTCCCCCCACCCCACCCCACCCCACCCCGCGAGGAAGGAAGTCGTGAAAGAAGCCCGGCGGCCGCGGGGCGGGTACCTGAGCCCGGCCTGCCGCCAGTACGCCACCATCGCTGCAGGCTGCACCTCAACCCCACCGCAACCCGCCCGCTCTGCTCCCGGGCAAGGTCAGCGACCGCCGGAAGAGGAAAGACCGCGGCGCTGCTCTCTAGCCAATCAACAACCAGGAGTGATCCTTTCGCCAATCGGAATCCGAGTTACCTCAGGGAATCTGACCAACGGCATCTACTCAGTCGCTTCTCCAGTCAGAAGCGCTCTCCTCCGGCAGCGACCAATCAGAAGGCTGAACAATGACTCCCCGCCCTTCCTTCTAAGGCGCCTCGCCCCTTCTCGCACTGTCCCCCACTGGGGTTGTTGGTCCGCTGCAGGGGCGAGTGGTCCGCGCAGCGTTCCATGGTCGTGATTTCCCCGGTAGAAACCGTTTGGGAAAGGTTTGGGCCCTTCCCGGTTGGGGAGGGTCTCAGCTTCGCTTTCAAACGTGGTCAGCTGGGTCTTGCCGCCCAAAACCGTGCGGGTGTGTGAGGTCTTCGTGATTCAGAGCAGGTACACAGCACACATTAGTTAACTGGAGAGCAGAAAATAGAACCCGGCTCCTCAATGAGACTAATGATTAGTTACATAGCACTTACGTTACATATTAATTCATTCCTGAGTAGTCCTAATCTAAGAATCCAAGCAAGTGGTTAAAAGTGTGTATTTTTCCAGCTAAAAAAGTTATTACCCCTCTATGCCATAAGGTCTTAGCTTTTTCTAGGTAAGACTAAAGAAAATGTTTTGCAAGCATGTGAGACAGTGAGTTATAAACACTCTTCAGCTAGGGGTTCTGATCTGTGTGTGGCCAACCTGTGCTATGTTCAGAGGTTTGTCCTGTCAGACACGATGCCTTTGCATGGGATTTTTTGTCCATACACCTGAAATGCTCCAGCCCTCACAGCATCTCTGTGGCCTCCTCTGGCCTTGATCCAACAGCTCCACATCCGTCCTGTGCTGCTGTCCCAGAGCTGGATTAGGACTGCAGGGGGTCTCCCCAGAGCACAGCAGCTGTTGTCTGGCTGCGCACCCTCTGGGGGTGCAGCCCAGCACATGGAGGGGGTCTGGGCTGCAAGCACACACTGACTGGTCATGGGGAGCTTCTCATCAACCAGTACGCCCAAGTCCTCCTGCTCTTAATTAGTTCTCCACTGAGCCTGTCTTTGTGCTTGGGGGATTGCCCCAACCCAGGTGCAGGACCTTGCACTTGACCTTGCTGAACTTCATAAGGTTCCCACCTCACAAGCCTGTCAAGGTCCTTGTGGGTGGCAGAGCACCAGTTGCAATACCAACTCATGAGGAGCACCACTCATCACAGTGCTCCACATTGCATACAACACAAATTACTGCAGTACTTTCATTTATTGATGAAGTGCATGTTAGAGACATATGCTATTTTAATGCTAATGTCCAATGTTTTGATAGGTAAAATAGTTATCAATAAGATTATTTTAAGCCTCATGGGCAGCCCAGGCCACAAATATACCTTGACAGAAAAATGTTATGCTAGCAGAGTTGGACACCTTTCTTCCACCTATGTGTCCCTCTGTTCCTGCCCCACACCTTCTTTGGTTCTTCTCCCTACTCCTTATCTTACCTGCTCTTTTCCCCCATTTTCTTTTCCCACCACATCTCACTCGCTACCTCCATGTGAAATGCCTCTGCCTGCAATTCTGTGCAATGTTCTCAGGTTTAAATCCGTAATGGGAGACATACAAGTTGGATGTAACTGTTTGCACATGTAGCTCTATTCACTATTTCGTGGTCTTGACAGATAAAAATTAATAGAATCATAGAACAGTTAAGGTTGGAAAGGACCTTAAGATCATCCAGTTCCAACTCCCCTGTCACAGCAGGGACACTTCACACAAAACCATGCCACCCAAGGCTCTGTCCAACCTGTCCTTGAACACCGCCAGGGATGGAGCATTCACAACTTCCCCAGGCAACCCATTCCAGTGCCTCACCACTCTAACAGTAAAGAATTTCTTCCTTACATCCAATCTAAACTTCTCCTAAGTTTTAACCTGTTAGCCCTTGTTGTAGCACTACAGTCCCTGATGAACAGTCCATTCTCAGCATCCCTATAGCCCCCTTCAGATACTGGAAGGCTGCTGTTCAGCATGAATTCAAAATATTAAACCTCTGGGAGAGGTACCATGCTGAGACAGAATGGAAATTAAATTAGTGACAGAAGTTATGCTCTACAAAAATTCCAGAATACATTTTGATGTTTATGCAGCTGTGAACAAGGCACCATTGTAGATCTGTATGACCTGTTTTCATGCCCAGTTCTGTTTAGATGTGAGGATATCTTTGTAAAGCCCTAAATTTTTCTCAGATAAGAACTTTGAGAGACAGAATTTAGGAAAGAGCACATAACGGAGGTAAGTTTAGAAAGATACAGGGAGGTTGCAGTGAGAAGGGACATGTCAAGAGGGTTAGATGCAGAGATCAAGAGAAGCTGAAGGGGTACAATTAGCAACATCCAGAAATGTGGGAGTGGATAGGTCTGGGGGAACTAAAGATGTGAGATTAGAAATGTCCAGAGAAACTGACGAAGTGAGGGAAGAAGCATCCTGAAATGTGAGATTGGAAACATCCAGAAAGGGTGTAGGAATGATATTAGAAACATCCGCAGAGGTTGATGAAGATAATTCAGAGGAGCCTTGAAACATGAAATAGTTAAAATTGGTGAGATCTAGTGAGTCTGAAGAGCTTGAAGAGGTGTGCTCTGAGACACCTAGTGAGGGTGGAGGGATTGTATAGGAGTCCAGGGAAGCTGAGGAGTTGTGACTGGAAATATCTGGGGAGGATGAAGAACTGACACTGGAGAGGTCTAGGGAGGGTGAAGAAGCAGGACTGGAGAAATCTGGGGAGGGTGAAGAGGTGAGACTTGAGAGGTCTAAGGAGGCTAAAGAACTAGAGTGATCCAGAGATCCTGATGAAGTGAGACTTGATAAGTCCAATGAAACTGAAGAGGTGAAACTAGAGTGCTCCCAGGAATCTGAAGAGGTGAGACTGGAGATCTCTAAGGAGACTGAAGAGGAGGTGCTGGAGAACTCTGAAGAGGCTGAAGATGTGAGACTTGAAAGGTCCAGAGAAGATGAAGTGAGACTGGAAAAGTCCACAGAGGATGAAGAGCTCAGACTGGATAAATCCAAAGAATCTGAAAAGGGGATTTTAAAGAGTTCCAAGGAGGCTGAAGTCTTGACACTGGAGGGGTCCAGGGAGGCCAAAAAATTGAGACCAAGTAGGTCCAGGTAGCTTGAAGAGATGACACTGAAAAGCCAAATAAATCCACAAAATGACTGGTGTTAAAATCAGAAGTATTTTAAACTAAAGATCTCTAATAACATGCCAAAACAAGCCAGAAAGACATAATGAACCTAAATAATACTACTTTTGAAAATAACTAAGCATACAGTCTTCATCTTTATGTCTCTTAGCAGTTTCTCTTTTGGTACAGAAACCCCCTAGTAATAAGAGCTCACAGACTTCAGTACAGAAGTACAGAATCATACAATGACTCTTCCTAATGATTCTAACAAAAATCGCTTTTCTCTGCAGCATGTGCAAGATGTCTTTTGGGAAGCTAGCAGTATGCTAAACTGATTCTGTGACTACAAAATACACATTTCAGCAACATCAATTCTACTTGTTTTTCAGAGAAAAAGAGGTCTTATCTTAATACTTCTATTTTGTACTTCTGGACATAAAACCTGTACAAACAGATTTTTTTTTTTTATTTGTGGTTTGAATGATTTAATGAAAATATCCTCAAGAGAGGTTCTTATAGAAGGCAGACATCTAAATAAAAAGGGAACAGAACAGCTTATATTTCAGTTCATAAAGGTGCATCTAATTATAGTATGAGTAGCTCAAGAGGCTGATCCTACAGCTGCCTTCTTTCGTCTCAAGACTGTGCTATGGAACACAGTAGTTGAAACCTGCTGTTGTCTTTCCAGACGTAGGCACAGCAATACACATATAAATTTTTCAGAAAGTCATTACAACAATAGTTTATGGACCAAGAAAGTTAAAGATACACTTGAAAGATACAGGAGGATGCAGCTTCTTAGGTGAACGCACCCAAGCTTTGCCCATGTTATTACACAACTGATGTCCAGATGCATATATAATGGATTTAACATAATCACCGTGGGTGGAACTCCCACTGAGATCACCTCTTAACTGAAGCAGGTGTCTGCCTGACAGAAATAGTGTCTTCCTATGCACATACTAAAACTATGGGGATTTTGCATAACACAAAATCTACCAGGCTGAAAAAAAAAAAGCTGCTTATGTACCAATAATGAAACCCCAAATTTCTGAATCCAGTTAATATTTATTGATAATGCATCTGTATTTTTAGAGCTCATGCAACATGACTGTAATTCTATCAAGAGTACAATGTTTATAGATCAAAAGGCAAAAGCTAATTTTTCTTAACATGTATAATTTGTGATGAAACAAGTCTGCTTACTGCCCTGTATTCTTAGAACAATGAAAATAAGTAACCCCTTAAAAAAATATCCCTTGCTGTATAACACTATCATTTTGTGACCGACTTCAATCCTAAGTTTCTCAAGTGCATTGTAAGGAGAACAACAAATTATACAAAGGCATATGGCAATAGAAGAAAAAGCCAGCATCAACATTATTTCCAACAGAGTGTAAATTCCATCATCTCTTCCCCCTATTTCTTCTGCCTTAATTTAAAATGTGCAAAGTTATTGCCCATTTTCCCATGAAACAACACTATCAAGAAACATGGAATTACAGTCACTATTGTATAAAATGTACAGGTCAGTAGTAATGCTTCCTACCTTTGATAGCTGTGGATTTATCTCCTTTCTCTGCCTCTGTAAGCCATATTGGGCTGTGCTGGTAAAGCTCTGCTGTTCTCTCTGCTGATGACCCTAATCTGTTCCACAGCTACTGGAAATCATGCCATGCTGATGACAATACGGGTCATCTCCTGTTAAATCTCCTCTCATCTAAGTACAACACTGCACAGAGCACCAGCAGAAAACATGCTGAAATTAGTTCTAATCTTAAGATAAAGCTGCAGTTCTGTGATGTTTCTTATTACAGGACAACATTTTCAAGGTTCATTGATGAAGTAGATGAACACATTAATTTCTAACTTTTGGACAGCTGGATTAAAAGTAAAAATAATTGTGAAGTGTCATCCGTGTTCCCAGCTGTCCATTCTACAAAATCTGGCATAAAGTAGTCCCTGGAGGGACCCAGGATCTGCAGAGCAGAACTCAGGTAGGTCCATGTTTCAAGAATCTTGTGCATTATGTTCTATTTTAATGTGTTTAATAACTTTTGTTAGGTTTATGAATGTTGTTCTGACAAAATAGCATAATAATGTAAAACATTGTCCACAGCTGATAATAATATTGAGTAAAGTTTTAACACACACCCCACCCCCCACCCCAAGGTGACACCAACAGCTGGAGCCTGTTTTCATAAATTTGTAAGTCTCACAGGTTCTTATGCTTCTTTGAAAGACAAGGGAGACTTAGGAACCTTGGTAAATAAGGGCCATTAGTGCATCTCACTCTGCAGATAGGGAAAAATATCACCTGTGCAGTAGCAGCCTGCTTTGTTCTTTCTGTTCTTTCACAGGAAAAGCAAGGAAATGGCATAGCTTGCTGAAATGTCTCTCAAACTTGGCAATTACAGAGAAAATAAAACTGTATAGAGCATCAGGCTGTGTGCTCCTAGTACTTCAGTTAGATCATTTGGAGCATGACACAACTGTAAAATACAAAGAAATTTCAAGTGTGGGTTCTGGTACACACTTCCTTAGTCCCAGCTTCACAACATGCCTACTAAATTGTGCTGCACCTGCTGTATGTAAATGAGTTTAAATCTAGATGAACCAGCACAGTTATCTCATAGGTAAATAATAGCTACTTAGTCCCCAAAAAACTATTAAGAAGAACTCATCCAAAGGATGCTACATGTCATAATATAAAACAGGTTTCTTACCAGGGTGCCCACAAAGGCGAACAGTTCTAGGAATATTAAAGTTCACAGCAGGGGCAATTGTTTGATTTAATCTGATGTAAAAAGGATTGGGTACATGATTTAGGAAAATATTTGCTACATATGTTCTTCATTTTATTATATTCTAGTTGATATATTCAGTTTGATAATATATAAACTATTTCAGTTTTTAAACTTTTTGACTAAAGTACTGCCAAACTTTTCTAGAGAACAAAAAAACGTAAAAAAGCTTGTGCTGAAGTTTATATGTCTACGAAGACTTTAACTTACCAATATTAGTTTTACAGAACTGAATTTTTACTGTTTAATTACATTATTCAATGCTGTAAACACTTTCTAGTAGATGCAATATTAAATTATTGTAATACACATTGCAGAGAAAACATAATTTCAGCCCACCTGATAGCTTCCTACACATAAGGAGATCCTCCATTTCTACTCTTACAGTGCCTCTCACCTTGCTGCTGGCTGCCTAAAGATGATACCTCTTCTCCTGTTCATTTTCTGGCTCAACAAAGGGTGCGAAGACCACTACCTTCAGTACAGGGGAAGAAGTAGAACGGAGCAGCCAGGAAGAAGGAGGCAGGCAGACACACATAGGACTGTTTCCTTTAATTGAAGGTAAGCAATTAGTTAAGCTTAGCTGTAACATGTACCCTCACTTTTAGAATAACACAATTCTATGGCAACATACAAAGCAAAGCTATCAAATTACTTGAGAAACTACCATGTTCAGTGCAAGTGAAAGAACGTTTCACTTTGAGAAATAGAAGGATGCTAAACCACTCGGTGCTTTCACACAAGCTCTGTTTATCAGAACTCTTCAGTTCTTCTATAAACATGAACCTCAGCAGGATGCTATTTCCTCTGAAGTGTCTGTGCCACAGGGCTTTGACAGACAATGGGTGCTGAGGTTTTTACCATACATAACATTTATTGGAAACACACTAGACTGTACAGCTTAACTGCAACTATAGACCGCAACAGAAAGATCAGCAGTTGTAGGAAATGTGGTTAAAGTATTTTCTCTGTTTTCCAAAACAAAAAAAATGGTTTACATTTATAGTTAACTGCTGTCACTGGGTAGGTGCTGACAGCCACTGTCAGCAAGAAGAAAGATTTCTCAGGTAAATTAAGCCTTTTTAAAAGTACTTAGTTTTTATTGCTGACTGAAGACAGTGGTATTATTTTAGTGTTCTTACAGACACAAGTTGTTTCAGTTCACAGTAAATTCAGGATTTTTTTCTTCCACAGTAGCAGCTTTCATCATTTCAGACTGTCAAAAGCAGTACCTTGCAGAATGCAAGTAGCAAGCAAACCTTGCTAGGTGCACAAACACAAGTCTTCAATACGTTTTAGTGCAGATGGATACATGGAAACTAGACACCTATACAGATCAAAAAATTTTAAACCTAATTAGACATGTTCCTAGAATGCCTTGCAGTTACTATAGAACAAGTTAAACATACTGTTGCTTGAGCCATCTTGAACCTGTTTAAATCAAGAAGTGTAATTTACTAAGTCAACACCAAAATCCCAGCATTGGTATGGCCAATTCTTATATCAAACCTGAGGAAAAGTCATTTTTGCATTTCTTTTTTCAACTTTTAGATAAAGATTTAAGAACCTTTCTATAGGCATGTGGCAATGTCCATACAAGCATCTGACAATTGGAGAGCACAGGGTTTCCAGCAGAACCAGCAGGTGATGCCAGTGTTCAGTCACAAAAGAGGGCATTAAGCCTGCCAAGACTTCAAACTTCCAGGTACTCAATCTAAACTTACGATTTTAGATCAATTGTAATAGCATTTCTAGATACAACTTGCTTTAGAACAATTCTTTGGAAACTTGTAGTATGTTCCTCCTCCTGGCAGGAACATGAGAAACTTACACAATTACTGCAAACTTCAGAAGGTGAGCAGTGGCAACAAAAGATTTAATGGTGCCATCTTAAACATTCTCCAAGCCATTTAGCTTTGTCTCTAAAAGCTAAATGGCCTGGAGAGTATTTAAGACTTCTCACTTTCTCTCTTCTGTTCTATTTCTCAGTGAAGTTATTTGTGCAAGTTCAAAATTTAAGTGATTTAAAAGCGGGTAAGTTGAAACATCGATCCATTTAGTCAAGCTGCAGCAGGTAGTAAATCCACCAAAGACTATACCACCAATCTGTTCACATTGTTCTACTTCTGCCCCTCCCTCCCCTGTTTTCTTTCTTCCTAGTCCTTTTAAGTTTTGTCCCTCCAGCCATAGCTCCTTTCTCTTACCCACCTCCTCCATTCCTTCTAACCACCAGAACCCCAGTTTCTCCACACTACCTCAGGCTGCACTTTTTGCAATGCCAGTGCATTCATGTGTGACATCCTACGTTCATCAGAGCATTGTCAGCCATGACACAGCCCTGCAGAGCACTGTGACATTGATCCACAGGTAACATACGACTTGCTGAAGCGGCCAGCAAAGAAACCACCCACATATCTACATGCATACATACCTATGTGTGCTGAGCCCAGGCAAGCATCTACTTCCCTTTCCATATACATTGTAACTGCTGCACACAGTTGTCCACTCCCTATCAAGCAAAGCTACTTCAGGTGAAATCTCTTACTGTGAGACTTCGAGGTGAACACATCGAGCCGTTACATGACAATACAGACCAAAACATTTTGTTCTCTTCTGCACCTAACAACAGGGAGCATTACCAATCTCAGCCCAAGCAGACTGACAGTCATTCCGCAGGATCTAGCAAACTGCAGCCTGGTCACCCGTTAATGTGTCAGATTTACAGAAAAGCAGAGTTACTAAGAAATAAAAAAGAACACAGCAGCTATAAATGTGCATTTTAGGATATGAATTTCAAAAAGCAGCTACTAACTCCAGAGTATTTATTCACCTTCACCCCCCTCATCTTACAGTACTCACCTAGTAGTTATAAAAAACAAACAGAAGGTTTCAGAGCTAGCCAGAATTCAGATACAGTTTTATTTAAAAACCACCACATACTCTGGCAGAGTGAGAATGCAGGCATATAAATAAAATAGAATAAAACAATGATCTTTCAAGATGTTGAATACTTGCAAATATTAAACAGTAAGTTGGTTTTTTTGTTCAGCGCAAAGGCAAATTGTGAGTTCATACTATGCAGTCCTTAGTGCGGAAAAATCAGGAAAAGAAAACTACCAAGTAGTGCTAATGGCTAAACAAACATTTCAATGAGTTTCAGGCATTGTATTTTTATCAGAAATGATGGTACCGTTTTGCAGAAGTTTCATGTATACCTTTTAAATTAAAATGCTATTTCAGTTGTAATAATATCCTATAAAAGCGTGGCAAAGCTTAGTGATTTCAATTTAGTAAGTCTCAAACCATTTCTTTTTAGAAAAATATTTAGAATAGTTATATTTTAAAAAGTTATATTTCTACACACCTCCCCACACCTCTTTTCTTCCCCCTACACAAATCCTACAGAAGAACGTTCTTGTGTGCTTACAACTTAAAATAATCTCTGGTTCTCTATATAGCAGACACTATTCAATAGAGAATTCTGATAACAGAAATGGCATGCAACATAAAATATACTGGACAGGTGACATTACAGTTTTTAAAGACTAGAGAGTCTTGAAATCACTTGTAAGCTTAGAATCAAAATTCCAGGAAGAGCCTCTGGCACCAAACTACAAGCATCAACTTGTTCAGGGCTGTGTCCTTCCATTTTCCCCTCACACTGAAGAATCCTCGTGGGACAGATGGCTCCTGCTGGAGTCAACAGGACTACCAGCAGGCTGGTGTGCTATGTGATGTCAGGGTCTGACCTTTACGTTCCCACAGCTCATGACTGGTGACAGTACCAAGAATCCACAATGAGTACCGAGAAACAAACACAAACTGTAGAACACTATATTCTCAGAGTTTTCATTTAAAGAGCCTTGTATCGTGAGCAAATTAGTTCAGAAGGTAAAGGAACTTCTGGACTTAAAAACCACTTTAAAGGACAATACAATATTCAGTTGATGTAAGGTTATTTTTGGAGCATGACCAAATTAACAAGTATGCTGTTAAAATTCATTAATCCTGTTTAGGTATCTTTTAAGCCAAATTTACAAAGATTTTTTAGATCTTTAAGTGTTTCTTTGAAATTCTGAAATGAACACCTACTATTCTTAGACATCCTAGCAGCTTGCAAGATTTTATGCATATTGTACCTCTGTAGTTAGTGGGCTTTTAGAAATGGAGATACTTACTACAGGAGTTTCAAATTGGATTTTATTTTCAGTTATGGCACACCCAGCTCACTAATGTCACACTTCAGAATAGAATTTAGATCTTAACAGATAAGAGACACTTCATATGTTTTACCCATATTGACTGCAAAACAATTTGAGTACCATGTAATCTCAACCAGTCAAGTTTAAAAGGTTCTCAAAAGATATTTCGTACATTCTTCCATATTTCAAGCATCAAGTAATAAACTTTCTATTAAACCAAGTTGTATCACACAACTATAGAGAATTAACAAAGAGAACAATGATGGAACAAACCATTCTGCTTAATTTTGGGCTTGGTCCCAAAAGAGGTAGTCCATAAGTTATACACACACATAAAAATTCCACAGAAGTTAACCTAACATGCAGTCTTCTCCACCATATACAGCCTCATCACTAAACGAGGCTATTTCATATCTGAGAACATTACAAGTTAGTGTTCCTGTAAGGAACTACACTTGAAATTATTTCTTCATCTCTAATCAAAACCTGGTTCAGCTGAACCAATACGTTACCTGGGCTTTGCCATCAACCTCCTTAGTAAGAATGCAGTTTTTCCTCCAAATTAAATTTAAAACCTGCCTAATACACAGGTATGCCTTTAAATAACAAAGGATACATGTATTTAGGCTTGGAGAGAAGCTTCAGATTATTAAAGCTCCTTAGTAATACAAGTATATTTACTGTCATTTCTCTACAAAAGCTGCTGCTGCCATTGAATTCCTCATGGTTCCTCGTGCTGAAGCTGCAAACTCTTCAATCTCTGCATTCAGCCTATTAATTACCCATTCCAATGCTTCACGGCCCTACAATTAAAGAAAAATTTATTAGTGTATAAATCTTAGTAAATAAACAGGTTCTACCCTGTCTTGCTGAAAATGACTAGACACAATAGTTAAAACCAAAGGAAAGGTACAGAAATACAGGCCTCTGTGGTACTTTTTACTTCAATAACTGGAGTACTACAGGAACACATCCTGCCTTACATTCCATGAAAAAAATTCCTTATGTGAGCACTGCTCACATTATGAGCCACGAAAGTTTTTATCCAGATTGTTTTATCAGTCTTGAGGCTGAGCTCAAGACGTCTCTGGATTCCTAAAGAGCCCTCAAGTAAAACACTCCCACACAACTAGTTCAGATCTGTCTTTTTCTATAACAAAAAACTAATGGATGCCATCAGGAGGGCAGCAAAAGCAGGACAGTGCCAGACTTGTTGAGTGGAGATGGTTTTTTCCAGTGAAGAGTCAGGGAGCTTTGCCAATAATAATTTATTATCTCCATTCACAAGAGCTAAAAAAAAAAAAAGAGGAAGTTCAGCAAGCTGAGCATTCAGTCTCTATGGTAAAGACAGCAGAACTGTGTGGGCCCTTCCCAAGGCTGCTGTAAAAGCCAAAAAGTAAAACAGAATTTTTTTTCCCCTTTGTCCTTCAGCCAGTGGTCACACATTATACACAAGGATCATACTTACTTTATTAGCATTGGAAGAAATTGTGTTTGCCATTAGCCCTTCTAAGTAACTGCTGAGACTTACACCTTTTACTGATATTATTGCTTCTTGTGTCAACATGGTTCTGAAACAGAGCAAGAAACAGAATTATTCTGAGTAGCTTAAAAAAATAATGCATTGCTGAAAAAAACTCACTCCCTCCCAACAAACATTCTCTTATCAGCTTTGCTGTGTAACACAGAACTTCCCCAGAAACATAACCCATTTCCACTGTGTACAAATGCTTTATTAGAGGGTAGATATAGATTAGATATTAGAAAGTTTTTCCCTGTGATGGTGGTGCGGCCTTGGCACAGGTTGCCCAGAGAAGCTGTGGCTGCCCCATCCCTGGCAGTGTTCAAGGCCAGGTTGGACACAGGGGCTTGGAGCAAGCTGCTCTAGTGGAAGGTGTCCCTGACCATAGCAGGGGGTTGGAACTGGATGAGCTTTAAGGTCCCTTCCAACCCATTCTATGATTTATGCTTCTATTCATAAAATAAAATCCATGAGTCTCAACCAAGTGGAAGTGTCCCTTCATGCATCTTTAGCAGCTGGAAGAGTGAAAACAGCAGATTTGAAGTGAAGGTATATTGGGAAAACAGCATTAAAACATCCCCTTCAACAACAGGGATTTAACACTTCTGACCAAGAAAGAAAAAAACCCTCTTATGTTAGAACCTCTGGAAAGATCCTTCAGAATTATCAGTAATTCCAGCAATACTCAGCTCTAATTTTGCCTCAAAAGAAACCCCAAAACAACCAACAAACTAAACACCAAAACCCAAACCTCAAAAATTATACACTACAGGGAGATAGATGTGCCTTCTAGTGCAGGTTTTATGCTCAGGTAGATAAGGAGATCAGGAATAGAGCACCATAACTGAAGCAGAATACAAACTCAAGTTACTGACAGGACACAACACCCAAAGAGCTCATCTGAACAGGGCTCTGTCATAGTGTGACACTGAGTGTCCCACCAGTGCTCTGCAGAAACAGTGTCACCAGAGAGAAGAGCAGTCCATTTAATTCTTTTTGAGACAAGGCGTAAACCTCATCTCCTGTTCCAAGAGAAACCATGGAAATTTTCAAAGTCAGGCTCTATACTACTTCTGGGCAACATCAGAACACAGAGGTACTTACTTGTATGGATCATGAGGGTGTGGTTTGTAGACAAGCCTCTCATCTACAGACACTAGATTTGTAAATGAAATCTGCAGAATGCAAAACAAGATTACCCCTTGATAAAAACATTAAACAAATGTAGTAAATAAACCTGCAGATTCAAAACCACACTTCTATGTCAGATTAAACATTGTACTTTCCCTGCAAATATCAGGGTTGAGATTTCTCTATGTTGAAAAATCCAAGTTCAGCAGTTGCTGATCTGGTTCCCTTTACTTAAGTTTCTGTGACATTTACCGTTATAACTACCCCATTTATAACAACGTTTCAACAGTGGGATTGGGTGGTACAAAGAGCAAAATCAAGAAACAGTGACAACATACATCAAATGGCTTTTAGAAGTTTCTTTTCTTGATACTTCTGTTCCCCTAAAACTACTGGCCTACTCATCAGCATGTTCAGATGCTTCTGTCCTGACAAGTTCCAAAAAGCCAGTAGCACCCTTCTGCAAAGCAGAACTAGTCCACTATGAACACGTTACATAAACCTTTAACTTACATTGTTCTAGTGCAATTTTCAGGTCATTTTCAAGATTAATTTCCTTTTTCCAATTTACAAGGTATTATAATCTGCAGTCTCTTTCAGTTGCACAAACACAGCTACTTACATTGCTGGATTTAAGCTCCATTGTTTTTTTCACCGGGTCAACAACAGAGTGCTCCTGAACATAGGTCTTTGTTCTGCATGTGCCAATAAGCTAGAAGGCAGGCAAACATATACAGCATTAATCACACAAACCAGCTGCTATTCTTTAGTGCCTTTAAAGACAGAAATATCAAACAGACACTGAGACATCAGAACAAGAGTTTAGCTTAAAAAAATTATTCAGTTGAGGTAGATACAATTTTCAAGATGGAAGCAATCTAAGGCTTGGGCAAGTTTTTGCTATGAGGAAGTCCCTTTGTGTACTGCTGCTGAGCTTTCCTCAGCAGATACATAAATGCTTATCTTTTCAAACCATTAGTTATGAAATGATACGCATCTATTACAACACCTGACTCACAAGCTTCCCTCACCCTCCGGCATACTTTCCAAGCTCTGTGACAAGACACATACCGATTTCACAATGGAAGGTATTCCCCATTCTGTACTGAGGAGCCGGTAGCTGTGCAGCTTCCCACCAGGATCAACATGTCTGTCCAGCACATCGACACCAACCACACTGGGGTTCATGGGATTTGGGTATTTCTGCATGGCGGCCGTTGTCACAGTTTCCCAGGGGTGGCTGCCAAACCAGAACCAAGACAGAGTGATACACCTTTTTTTAATGGGATTTGTAGTAAAAATGAGCACATCAATCAAATGGTATTTTTAAAGCAGTTCGATTTCCAGTTCTCAGCCCCACAAATACCCTTCCCTAAAGGAAAACACCCATTTTGCAGGTTGCGCAGAGGTACACAGAAGGTCACATACAACACACCTGATTCATCAGCACTCCTGAACTCAATTACCTTGTGGCTTCTAATTCCATATAAATGTTTTCCCTGTGACATAATGCTGAAAGAGTGCAACTTTTACGAGGCTTCAGGGACACTGGAGCAATTTATTAAGCTGTTACTTCCCTCCAACAAGTAATTTCTTCGGATTATTTTTCGCCAGAGGTGTTTTGGGGCACCGCAGCCCCAACAGCATGAATGGACCCCTAACACTTCAGTCAGGCTTACACCCGAACGCAAGGGCAGCACAAAGCTGACCTTCACCACGGCCGATTCAGTAGGTACGCCTCCCGGTTCAGTGAGAAGCGGCTTCCACAGCCTCACCGGCTAAGCCTCCCCAGAAGCCCCCGGCTAATGGCAGGCCCCCTCCAAGTCGGCAGCGGTGCCCGCGTTCTGGTAGCTTAACTGTGTCCCAACCGCCCGGAGGGCGCCCCTTGCCTGGCAGTAGGCTTGGTGCTATGCCCACCGCGGCCACAAGCCTCGGAGTTGTGCCCGGCCACCGGCGAGCGGTTCCCCGCGGCAAGTGACCCTGGGGCGCAAGGACACGCAGAGGGAAGGTCAAGGGAGGCGAGTCAGCACGACCGCCGGCGCAGGGCCGCTGCACCGGGCCGGGCCCGCCCAAATGGCCTGTAGGCCGGGAAGCCCCCTCAGCTCCTGGCCCCCTCGAGGAGCGGCCGCCATCCCTAAGAACAGCTCTACTGCTCTCCTCATGACTTCCCCCGCCCCGCACTCACTCGAAAACATGCTCCGAGGTCCAGATCTTCATGGCGGCGGGTACCGGGCGGCGACAGGGCAAAGACCTGGAGGCACCGCGACTACGCTCTCCTCACACCCCGCCGCCCCGGTACCCACAGGGCCCGGCACTGCCACCACCAGCAGCTGCTGCGCCTGCGCAGTCAGCGAAGAGCCACAACACCGCCTTTGGGCGCGGAACGCTGACATCCAATCGTCGCGCGGCGCCGCCCTGATGTCAGGAGTCACGTAGCGAGTGAAAGTCACGCAGAGGGCTCTCGGTCGCAGGTGTCAGGCTCTTGCCGGGAGGCCCGGCCGCACTCACTGCGCCTGCGCGGGGCTGTGCCGGAAGGAGCTCTCCGCCCGGCGGTGCCTATGTGTCAGGGTGCGGGAGGCCGGGGGTAGGAGCCGGGCTCCCGGCGGTGGGGTGAGGGGGCAGTGCAGCTGCGTGGGTTCCGCCGCCGAGTGTTAGCCACAGCTGAGAGCGCTCCAAATCATGCAAGCGCTTCACAATGCGCACGTTTCACAAACGCAGCCCGTTAGCTCCTGCAAGGCTTAGTCGGTTGAAGTGGGAATTAAGGCACGTTTCATGCTAACTCGGGCTGTCAGGAGCCGCGGGTACCCCGGGCTGCTTTCCGGATGAGCCGTTATGCGCGGGGCCGGTTACCAGAGGGCGCGGGGATCATGGGGAGCATCGGTGGTACAACGGGGCTGTGCTGGACGGAGAGGAAGGGCACGGACCGGGAGCAGTCAGCAGTGCCCCGCCCGGGGCAGCTTACTGGTGTCCTTTGCCAACTCGTTTTGTAAGTGCGCTGCCTGGAAGTTATTTTATAACCCACACTTACAAAACAGCCTCTTCGCTCTTTTGGATGCTAAGAAGCATGTTCTGTAACGTGCAAGCTATTCCAGAACGGAATGTAGGCAGGCTATTCCAGAATGGAAGGGTTTCAACCAACTGTTGTAAGCCATTTTACTCATTCTTGGAATAAACCAGAAGCGATTTCCAAGATCAGTAAAGCAGTAGGAAACCAGCTACAACTACAAACCAACCCGTATGCATTTTGTGGCTCATCAGCAAGCATTTTCTTTTAGAATTCTCAAGATAACAGTATTGAAAGTGCCTTGAGTAGCGTGGAAACTGTATGTTTTTCAAACAGGGAGGCAGCAGGACAGTCTTGCACGCTCACCACTCTCAGTGAGTGACTGGTATGTACTCATAACTACACAACAACGGCCTCACTGGAAAAGGTAGAAATGGGAATTTCCCAGAAACAGGTTACTTCACACAGGGAGATTTCTGTCATCTTTCTGCCATGCCAGAAATCCTGCCCAGTCTGGAAAAGCTCAGATTCAGTGAATATTCCTGTGCATTCCTGTTTGCACTGAACATCAAATACAGAAGCCATTATACAGAAAAGATACTATTTAATGATAAACTACCAGATGCAGTCAGCAGCAGATACGTAAGCGAGGACTAAGAGAGTAAGTGTTTGCTGGAGAGACCTATCTTGATCTTGTTTTATGGAAAGACTCTTCCACCTCACAGCACTATCCCTAAGCATTGTGAACACACTAGTCATCCATCATCTTGTACAAAGTTATTTCTGGAAGACTGCAAGACACATCTAAATCCATTTTAGTCTTAATACCCCCTGAGTGATTTTTACAACGGGAGAATTTTGCAAAGGATGTTAAAAATGCTAAGCATTTTGCAAGGTCTCAGAATGCAATACATAGTTGTGGAATATGGTGACCCTCAAATAGACATTGGCAATTCAGCAGATACCCATCCCCTATCCCCTAGGCCATCTGTAGTCTCTCATCAGGGTTGGGTTTTTTTTTTTATCTGTAAAAGAAATGTTAACTGCTGGAAGCAAAGCAAAATGATATCTCCAAGAAGGAAACATGCCAACATATGGTGCAGATTAGGAACTAGATCTCAAAAGTTCTTGCTCAGATAAAATTCAGTTTATTTTAACAGCAGTTGTATTTAAGTGAGTTTCTGTATTTGAGTGATACCAAGGGCCAAACTGCTTATAAACCTGACTTTTAAAATAAACCCAGAGTTTAGGAAAATAAAATGCTCATTTTTAACTGCAGAGGAAAAAGTTGCACATCTTAAATATTAGAATTCTTTACGTTGGTGATGTTGCATCTAGAGAATATAGTGTTCATTTTTATGACCAAGAATTAAATACTAGAAGTTGTATTATCTTTTTCCCTCTACTCTGCTCTCGTGAGACCCCACTTGGAGCACTGTGTGCAGTTCTGGTATCCTCAGCACAAGAAAGCCATGGACCTATTCGAGCAAGTCCAGAGGAGGTCAGATATAAGGAAGGAGTTCTTTACTGGTGGTGAGGCACTGGAACAGGTTGCCCAAAGAAGTGGCAGTGTTCAAGGCCAGGTTGGACAAAGCCTTGGGCAACATGGTCTAGTGCGAGGCTTCCCTGCCCATGGGACCATGTCACCCAAGGTTCTTGTCCAGCCTGGCCTTGTACACTGCCACGGATGGAGCATTCTCTCTTCAGAAAAACACAGATGGAATAAAAATATTCCCTCTTCTGTACAGAAAATGTGGTTTTATCTAAATAACCAGCATTCTTTACCAGTTTTTCCCTGTTCATGGCATTAGCAGTTCCACTGCTGATGTTGAGTCCTTACAGATGCTTCTCACTGCTTCAGCAAGCTGGTCTCCCACTCCACAACCTTTCACCTTCCCTCTTCATAACTGATACAGTCTTGCATTCCTTGCTGCAGCTGCGGTCTGGACTCATCATTCGACCCAGGGCAGAGGGAAGGGGCAGTGAGCTCTATACTATCTTAAAGATACCTGCCTCAGTTAAGGTATCTGCCGGGTCAGACTAGGCCCTATAACAGCTGATTTCTCAACTTCTGCCAAAGCTGGTTAAGCTGGCTGGAGCTGGTGCCTTCTGAAGTCAGTGACTCCTATTCTTGATCTGCTGCTCATGTTGCTCTGGAACAGCAGTTCATATGGCCAGGAGAAGTGCTGTAAGGAAACAGTGCTGCTGAATTTCTGTTTTCTGCACAGTGAACCATAAATGGAACTGAAGAATCATCCAACGACCATGCTGGTATTGCAAACGAGGCCTGAGGTGAAGAGCAAGTGGTCAGGGCTGGGTAAGCCAGTGCTGTGGACCCCCTGGAATGTCTTCTGGAATCACAGCTTGGGTTCACACATTCAACAGTGTTAGGAGGTCAGTGCATTTGCTCTTCATCCACTAACAAACACTGACTTGGTGTTTGTTAGTAACATCCGTATGTCGGTTCAACCCAAAATAAACCACAGATCAGTGTAGGACAACCAAATGCCTGTGTTTGTTTCTGTACTTTCTCAGTCACAATCAGGAGAGTCTTTTTCTCTGTCCTTCAGTATTTAGGACTCTTCCTCCCTCAATTTGAAGAAAAGTCAGATTATAGAAATAGCCAACAAATGCCTTTCCCCTATGTTCTGGTGAAAATGGCTGTGAAGTTGCATGTGAAAAGCAAATAAAAAGTTTTAAAGATTATAATTTTATATCCTGGGACTAATACCAGTAACCATATCACCTTTCAGAGAAAAGATACAGGTATATCTGTTTTTATTCAGAACTAAGTTCGAATCGATTCGTACTTTCTGTTTGGAAAAACCACAAGAGGGGGCTAGATTTCCATGAGGTTCTCCACGCGAAGACAAGAACATTATTCCATCAGAGAGAAAGGGCTCGGATTTACCGTCTCACAAGCAAACCCACGACGAGGTTTCCACACCTCTTGAGCTTTGCCATGTGAGAAAGGCCAAGATCCCTACTCTGATTCTGAGTCTCAGCAGCAACTACTCTCAAAGGGCTTCCCACCCCTAAATCTAGAGCATATTTTTCTGCAGAAATAAATCATTCCACTGCTTCCAACCTAATACGTGCTCCAGACAGAAATTCCCCGCTGGGAACAAATCTGAAAGATACAATCAGTACTTTTTTTTTTTCAATATTTCAAAAATATTAATGAAAAATCAACATAAAAGCAATGAAACATCTCCAAATAATAATAAAAAGGTCCCTTATATGTCCTCTAGTTAAGCCTGGTTAGTTTTGCAAAAACATAAACCTACAAAAAACCTGACTTACTCCTGGGCCAGTTTACTGCAGCAGCAGCAAAATAGTGAGACAGGAACATATGGCCACATATAGTTTGACTATATCTTAGACTATGATCTTAGACTATGATCTTAGACTAGTTTAAATCATTTCTAAAAGTATCACCTAAGTGGCCCTGCACATACCACAGTATTTTACACTGCGTGCTACCCATCCAGCATGTACGTGATGCCCTGCTAGTGAAAGGATAAAAAGAACTGTCATTAGCAATGTGATCTATGACATAGGTAGCCTGCAATGAATAATAAACACATGCATCCAAAAACATACTGCTTCTGCCAGCGCCTTCCCAAAGGACTGAAAAAACCCAGGAGTTTTCAGGTAAGCTGTACATAAACAACAATCTTGCAGCATTGTTGTATGATCACCTTCCACATTTGTCTTCATCATCACAAGGACAAGTGACAGATATGCAGCAGGAATCCTGAGACACTCTGATTCAAAACATCCGTTTGCGTGGCCAGAAGAGTTTTTTTTTTAATGCAGAAAATTAACATGTAAACCTATGGAATGGAAACAAAGGATGGAGAAGTCCATTGATCATGAGGCAATACTGAACCCAGACTTGTACAATTTGATGTATGTGCTATTGCTCACGTACATGTCTTACTGCAGCAATGAAATACAGTGAGTGCAAAGCACAACACAGAAGTTTGTCTCAGGCAACTTCTCCTGTCTTTTTGGGGAAAAAAAAATGACACAAAAGGCAGAGTGTATAGTCAGGATTATTCATCCTCAGATGCATATTCTATTTCCTGTACCATAAAAAGGGGACATATAGTTCCTTCTTACGACTAAAACCAGTAAGGTACTAACCCTTTCCCACAGACTTACATGCAGATCCAGAATTTGTTTTCCAATATTGATTGCATAAAAGGATTCTTCCTGCAATTTCTTAATATACATTATTTTCCTACCACTTAAATGTTTCATATATTTGTATGCATGCACAGCTGTTGTACAAAGGCCATAGTCAAAAAGTGTTGATGTTCTCTAGTATGGTGGTACAGGGAGATGAAGAAAAAAAAGGATGTAATTTCTTAAACAATACTAGTACAAATCTATTTCCTGTTTCAAAATGCTGCTCATTTCCTTCTCAGGCACATTTAAAACAGCCTGGCTCCCCAAGTAATTTCTAAGTTTTAAAGTAATACATGGATCTTTTGAAAGCCACCTGAGATGTTTTTGTGGGAAGGAGGTCTCTCTGTACTGGTGCTTCCACTTGCTCAATAAAAGCAGTCAAATTACTAACTCATCAACTTGCCTTACTTCAACACTGGACAGTCTTAGTGACAGTGGTTTGGTCATGTTTTGCTGAGAGTCAAAGGATCTCTCCATGGCAGTGACAGCAAATGGACAGAACAACAACATGTCTTTCTCTCAAGGCTGCAGATCTCTCTGTAAACTTTTTATTGCCCACAACAACTGGTTGAACTTTGGATAGGTGCCTGCCCTACAGAGAAGGCCAAGCTTAGAAGTAAGTCACACACATTTCCTTTGTCAATTTTTACACACTAGCACATTTGCTTTGCTCACTATCTACACAAAGAGTTGCATACACAAATCACGGGACTTTGCTGTCTACGCCTGTAAATTTGCATCCGGAAACCTAGAACGGGTAAAAATTAGAGCTAGTTGAAGCTGAGAACATCAGAGAGATTGAGTTTTTGTTCCCTAGCATTTAATGTCTCTCCCTTCCCTAAATAACCACCACACCCTGAAAAAACAACCAAACCAAACCACCCCACCAACATTCCCTCTCCCCAACCCCTCTCCCCCCAAAAAGAAGAAAATTCATAGAATCATAGAATAGTTAGGGTTGGAAAGAACCTTAAGATCATCAAGTTCCAAACCCCTGCCATGGGCAGGGACACCTCGCTCTAAACCATATCACCCAAGGCCTCGTCCAACCTGGCCTTGAACACTGCCAGGGATGGAGCATTCACAATGTCCTTGGGCAACCCATTCCTGTGCCTCACCACCCTAACAGGAAACAATTTCCTCCCTATATCCAATCTAAACTTCCCCTGTTAAAGTTTTAACCCATTACCCCTTGTCCTACCACTACAGTCCCTAATGAAGAGTCCATCCCCAGCACCCCTATATGCCCCCTTCAGATACTGGAAGGCTGCTATGAGGTCTCCATGCAGCCTTTTCTTCTCCAGGCTGAACAGCCCCAACTTTCTTAGCCAATCTTCAAACCCAGACATTATCTTTGCTTTAGAAGATTTAGTTTAAGGGTATACTAAAAAAAAAAAAAAAAAAGCATTTAATAGAATGATCTGGAACTAGCCCTGGAGCCAACATTTGATTTTCAGATCCCTTTTATTTTATTCTACTGCCAGAAAATGTCCTAAGAGACCTAAGGCTGCACACCTTCTGTACTGTTGCCTCATATGCAAAACTGGCCAAGTACCTTCCTTATCAAGCATGTGACATACCTACTGCAGTTGTGAAATATACCGTCTAACACCGTCTACACCAACCAGTCTCTATTATTGTTTATATAAGATGAATGCAAATAATTGTTTTCCTTACCAGCTCTCTCTCCCACCTGACAAGGTACAAGATGTAAGAAGTCAGTGTGCACACAGTCACACCCAGCAGGCCCTCCCCTTGCCTCATCATTAGCATACTGGCTACTCTAAGGTTAGGTCTTCCTCCTGCTGTCTGTGGTGGTTTGTTTAACATATTCATACCACATTACATGAGTGCGCTTTATTTATGGTTTGCAGCAGAACTCTGAAGCTGGCAGGTACAGAGTCCTTAAATGGCTTTTGGTGACTGAATGATTTGATTTCAATTTAAAAACTGACTCAAAATTTGTGACAATATATGTGCTGCATGACTCATTAGAACCATGAATTTTAATTTAATGATTTTTTATTAAATTGTGCGATTTCCTTGACTTCCATGGCTCATGGAGTTTGATTTGATTATGACTATACAAACAGTTCCATCTTGTCTGTGTCATTAGTGGGAGCAGCAGCTGCCACTTGGTGTTTGAGTTCAGTGCAGATGCACAATGGTATACAGTTCATGGATGCAATATGACTATTCTGTTGTCTGGGAAACAGTCTCCTAAACTCTGCATAATATGACAGTTACCAGCCAGATAATGTTTTCTCTTGCAAGCATCACAAATGTGCATGTGATCAAGTAGGCAGATGATAATCACATGTTATCACCCACAACTCATGAGCAAGCACAGTAACAGCACAATTAAAGACAAAACCATGTATTTTAAAGTACATTGAAGTTGCTAATGTATTTGTGTTGTTTGGAAATAATCATGCTTCTTCACTACATCTGATTCTTGTTTAAACCTAAAGATGACATTTCTTATAAAACCCAAATGCTGTCAAACATTCATTGAATGCAAATTTATAATGCAATTCTTGAAGAACCAGTGATGACAGGTCATGGTTGTAACATACTACATGTTAAGTCACAAATGTAACTCATGGTCTTCAAATACTGCTCTTTTATTCAAAATTTATATAAAACTCTCTGTTTCAGAAATCTTGGATTCCATCAGCTATCTTTTGACATGCTTTAGAGAAACTGCAACCTGGAAACAAAAGTTGAGACTTCTTCATGCACAGACCACTGCATGAAAGTGGCTACTTAGTCATCAGTGCTGACATCTTAACTATCACAGAGACAATTATCCGATCAATTATAAGCAAATATTCTTGAGACACCTTTAGCTTACCTCTGTCAATGGCTGACTACAGAGTTATGATGAAAGAGAGCCATTAAATCAGTCTTGTTAAAAATTTTGTGGGCCAGAGAAAACTTTGATCATGGATTTAAGTCTACTTATGCTGTCTTTAGTACTGGGATTGTATTTAACACCTCTTTTGAAGGGGAAGGACCCAGTCTCAGCAAGCAAGAGCACAAGAGCTTTCATCTCTGGGACTACAGGCCTTGGATCTTTAACAGCAGCAGCAATTAAGGCTCAGTCCTAACGTTCTCAGCTGGCCTTGACAGCAGGAATTCCCAACTCCAAGCTGAGAAGATATTCTAGTGTTTGGGTATCGCTGACAATCCAGAGAGAAACAGCTAGCTCAAAAGTGAAAAATCACACCGGAGAGTGGCCCTTTCCCTTCTAGGGATGAAGTACAAGGCACTCCAAGGGTTTAAAAGTTTTGACAGCTTACCAGGCCAGTGGTAGTTTCCTGCTTGTAGCTTCACTGAAAACAGGTATCTTTTCCAAGTAGTCTTCTGAAGGTTTCCAAGAGTATTTCATCCAACCTAAGGCATAAACTGTAAAAAACAAATTAAAAAAAATACTAATTTCATAGGAGAGTTTAAGATGGAAGCATAATGCAAATATCTTCTACATAAATAAAGTAATGGAATACTCTTCATGCATAGTTGGGACAAAAGTATTTTGTTTCATGGTAATCTGTAATAAACATTTTCAATTAATAAACAGATTCCATAAAATCAAAGACAAGATGGTATGATCAAAGTCAAGGGGCAGGGTCCAACTAGATAAAAGGTGTGAATCTGCTGTGTACTGTAATCGCTGTCTGACAGTTACTACAGGTTACGGATTTTTGTAAAATACTTAAGTGTGAAATATAACATAGCACTTAAAGAAAACCAAAGGAATATGTGGGGAAACTTCTAATCTTGGGAGTCTTGAGAAGAACTCCACTACATTCTCTAGAACTGTCCTGATCCAACGTCAAACACGTTCAACAGGCTTGTGCAAGTCTGGTACACACAGAAGTGTTGCACTTCATCAGGAATACCAAGTTAGTGACAGCACAGCCCTAACTCCTACCTGTACACACAGTATACCTGTAAAATCGTACACTTAGTTTTCTCCATGCTGTTGCTGGTACTCTGTACAAGGATGGAAAGTGTTCAGTGCACAAGACGATTCTTAGATACAGAATTTAGGCGCAGAAACTTGGACTCTTCTAGGCCTTCCCCATCCCCATTGTTGTTATTAATTTGTGCATCGTTAATTAATTAATAATGATTAGTTAACACTTTGAGAGACAAAAGCTTTTTCACCATCATGATACCTGCACTTCCTGCAGTGCTGAAACTAAGCTGTATATACTAAGCTGTCTGCAGCTTAGTGTTTCAGCAAAAGCAATAATTAAAGGAATAAACAATATGCATAAATGAACAAAATGTTTAATTCCAAGCACTTTCCATAGGATGATTAAGCCATATTGGATTAATGCTATCCATCTCTTCAGGATATACACACTGTTGCATCCACTACAGTCTAAAACGTTAACAGCCACAAACTGAAGCTTGAAATATTTAGAAAAGGAATAAATATTTGCATAAAGTAATTTTAAAAGTTACTTGCCTTCTCACAAAACAACCATCTAAAATGTAATTTTTCATATCTAGTTCTTGCACAGTGTATATTAAAGCACTTTCTTAGTAGCTACCTCTATTTTTTTCTCTAAACTTGAGTAATTTAAGAACTACTTCAAGTTGCTGCACAAGTAAATAATATTTCTATCAGTTCTGCTGCACTAATTCAATAGGATATGCATTGTTTTTCCAGCAGGTTAGTGATGGCAAAACTGGAGTTTGACCTTCTTGCTTGTGTCGATGTATGGCTTCCAAGCTCAGACATAAGAATTGGTTTTATATACACTTTCTACAGGTGACAACCTCCGAACATACAGCAGCTCTCTGAAATGCATAAAATGCTGTAAACTAGTAATTATTAGAAATCAAGCCCTATAAAAAAGTAAGATAAAGAGTATAGGAGCTACAGCAACTTCTCTTTTTAAACAAGATATGCATACCATGTATCTTGCAAGTAAAGGGCTCCCAAATGTACAGTATCATAGGAACAGAAAAAACAAATACTGTCTGAACAGCTGACTACTCCCCTGAGCATATGGACTCCAACAGGGACTGACGCTGCCAGATCCATTAGTAATGAAAGCAGCAGGCAAGGCAAGTTCTAAGTAAAAATATGATATTAATAAAAACCTGCATTAAGCTTCATTAAACACAGAACTGGGAGACAACCCAGGAGCAGAAGCAACTAAAACTAATTGAATTGAATTTAGTTACTCCAAAATCAGTCTTCCTTTTATAAATGTGTATTTCAGTGTGTCATACAGATCTTAATTCTTGCTGATAAAATTAGAGGAATACTTTCAAAACCATCTGGACACTCATACAAGGAATTTGCATGAATTTAAACAAAAGTTAACAACATCTACCTGTAAGAAAGACCCTTCTTTAGAAAAGGGATGGTGAATATTCTTTTTAGTTCCATATTCATCTGATTATTTCAATAACTGGGAGGATCAAAAACATGAAAGAAAATGTCTGCAGAATGAGGACTTAGGCAAACCTCAGCTGCTGAATCTTTTCTGTGCTCACTTAGAAAAGACTTCCTTCAAAAAGTAATTCCTACCTTATCTGCTTGTAGCCTTGAGGTTTTTTAGGCCTATATTGACAATATGGTATGTCACCTGCTTTTTAATTACTGTATTTTGCTGTACCCTGTTAGGGAATCTAAAAAACGGGTGTGCATTCCAAAAACCTGAAATACTAAAAAATAAAGATCAGAAAATCTGTTTTCTGAAAAACATGGCTATAAATGGAGAGAAGGAGAAAAGTATTGGCCGCACTAGAACAATCACAGTTTAGGGAGATGAACAAAATGGAATGATACCTGTCAGCTTTGGTAGTTAAATTGAGCAAATCAATTTATTCTGTGTTTTCAGAAATGATATGAGAAAGGTCTGACAGTTCATGGGGATTACTGACTAAGCCAAGGGGGAATACCACTGCTGCGAAGATGGAATCTGTCACAGGTAACCATCTAGATAACAAACTCTTCTCTATGGCAGTAGTGAACAGAACAACAAAATAAATTATGACACATAATATGCACACCCTGTAAATATTTTGAAGGAAAAAAAAAATAAATTGTGTGTTGACTTCTTAATTGTCCTGTTACATATCCCAGAAGTGGAATGCCAACAAGTTTTGCATGGACAGTGTGCATGCGAGTTTAGAGCTGACCTACAAGCTGTACCAGGCCCAAGAGCTCCTCGTTCTGGTGGCTGTGCTGTCAGACTGCACACAGTCACGTCTGTGGCCCCCCTTTTTGGGGTGGAGATTTTATGGGCTAATTTTAATGTTTTTTTTAAGCTAACTTCAAGAACACAGTAGTTTGGTTTAGGAAAGAGAAAGTGCCTAAAGAGTCAAACTGAAGGCTAAATTAGGAGGACATGACAAAAACATTACTCCATTTAAATGACGGTAAGAGCTGAGGTATCACTGCATCACTGGCCTTATGAGGGGAAATTAGCTGTGTTTCAAAATTGACATATTTCCAAGTAGTTTTTGTTTTCCTGCTTCCCTGAAGCTCAGTGGAGGTATTTGAATTTTATCAATGAATTTGTGATATTTGCATGTTTTCTTTATACATGTTAAAATGTTCTCTCTGGTTATCTTTTCAGAGTTAGAAAATGCTCTCGTTGCAAACTGTAATAACCAGTATTTTGTATAGGAATATAGAGGTGGGATATAACCTCCTTGGTGTAGAAGATTTTTATAAGGAAAAAAAAAACAACAAAGAGATAAAGTTAAAAAGTGTGCATTTACAGTCTTAAATTGTAGTAACTATGTGGTATAATCAATATAATTAGCCAGGAAGCTATTTAACAAGTTAAGTGATAAATGACCACTAACTCAAAACCTTGTTATTCTCTCACAGATTCTGCAATGGCTTTACTCAAGAAAATAAAGTAACATTTATGCCCACAGAACTCTTGTGAAATAAGTAAGTTGTAGTATCTCAGATGTTACAAATGTGAAAATGTTGAGGAGATTTTCTCAAAGCTCTAGTATCAGCTAAGGACTCAATTCCCAGGAACAAAATAGTGGGAGTAGAGCTTCCAACTCACATGTATCTTTTCCAAGATATTAGAGGGGTTTTGCAAGACAAAAGAATGGTTCACTTTTGAGTTACAATTTCAGAATTCCCAGTTCCCAGTTCAACCAGCTAAGTCCCAATTCCTCACTGTGCCTTCGTATTTCCACTCAGGCATGCAAAGGAGTCCTTGCCCAGAACACGTGGTTTAAAAATTTGTTTCCCTGAAGTAGTTTTACTAAGGATTGTTGGGGAGGACAGACCATCATTTCCCCCAAACCTCTGCAGATGATAGAGATTTGGAAAGGTAATTACTGAAAGGACACTGTAATCTTAATATAAATCCTGTTCTAATGTTGTATTTTTAATTTAGAGCAGCCTTGAGGTGTTTATAAAATTGTTAAATACTTTAGAGAATTAGTTTTTATTAAAATGAATCCTGAAAGGATAGTCTAGGAATGGATCTTTACAAACACAATAACTGAAATGTATAACATGAGGACAGCTGTTCAGATGACTGTTTCCATAACAGCACAAGCTACAGTAAGGTCCACAATGACACAGGATATTGTTTCTATGGTAATATGTTTAAGCCTCAAGGATGCACAGAAAGTCCTTAGGAAAAGTAGGAACTAATATTTAAATTAAAGGGATTTCCTTGTTTCTACTTATCTGTGTCTAACCACTTGTCACTATTTTCTTATATCTAGATTGGAAACTTTTTAGGCTGGTGACTCTCTTTAGCTTGTATTTCTAAAGAAATCGGTGATATCCAGTCATTCTTTCTGTCCTCTTGCAACTTTTTAAACTGTGGGTTAATTTTAATCAAGTTAGACTGTGGAACTAGTATGTGTCTGCTGAATGGGGCTCAGCAGAGTGCAGAAACCCTGCTGCTTGGCCAGGCAGCCACAACAGGGGTGACTCCTAATTAGGGGGTGTGGGACAAGCCATGCTGGGGGCAGGAGGAAAGGGAGATACCAAAAAGGAAGGGTAAAGGTACAGAATATGGATTTATGGTGCCTTGTAGAGACTTCAAATAGGCAAGTACATTGTAACAAATAAATTAGAAGTGTTAAAAGGCAGCATAGTAACAATTTCAGCATGGTAGGAGTGTGCATACAGACAGACATGTGAAACAGCCTGTCTAGGAGTTTCAGTTTTTCTCTAAAGAAAACATGAGTTATGCCCCTGAAAAGTAATACCGGTTTTTAGCAACACTGGTGCTCTAAATTCTTTGTGCTTTTTCCATGTTCCTGTATCCTGATTTGGCTAGATACCTGGCTGTAAAAATTCTCCCAGATTATTCATAATGGATCAGTAACATGTTAGATGTTGGGGTTAATACCTCCCAGATCCACAACAGAACCTTTGCATTTATTTGCAGGTGCCC